AATATCAAATCTATACAGGAAGTGCATACGATTTAGTAAAACACTTCCACCATGAAGTCTCTATACCAAATGTATTACCGCAGCCACCTACATAGTTCACAACATTATTCACAACATTGAAGGAGGAAAACTTCTATTTGTCCCTACTGAACTCAGCACAGAGAATCTTATGACGTAATGCCTCTGTTATCAACTTTTTTATACTGAAGGGAGGAGCAAGGTATTCATAATCTTTTTTAAACGTGGAATTGCAGTGCAACTCGATGTACAGTGATATCTATACGAGTAAACTGAAAAATAAAGTCTTCCTTAACTTCTGATCAACTTGTCCTTATTCCAGATAAGATGATAGGTTTCTTTCACGTGTTAGCCTAAGTTATGGTATCAGAATATTGTAGCAATTAAATTTTCCCTCAAAATTAAGGCCACTTGAAGCACAAGTTCACAACGATGCTATATATTATGCCCATTGTGAAAATGCTTTGTGTCATAAAACAGAGTGTAGTAAGTAAATGAAAACTTAAATCAATTCTGAAACTGTGCCATGAATGTCAACAACTACCAAAACAATCAAGACAATAACAAAACACTAAATAGATCACACGTACTAGCATGTTGTCATGAAAATTTGAAGACATACTTTTAGATTTTGAACTTACCATCTTATTTAATCCACCATATTGCGCAGATATCAGCATCAAGCGACATTTCCTGATACAAGTGCAGCAGGTGTAACTCAATTAGAGTAGATTATGCCGCCAATATTTCGTACACTGGAAAAGTTTATTAATTCGAAATTTCATTTAAAAAGCATACACAAATATAATTTCTGTCATTAAATTTTTATTTATTTTTGATTATAACTTGATTCCACACCGTATTTTTGATACAAGTATGGAATTTTCAGCATGTGACATAGGTAGCCTAAACTAAGCAGGCCGAGCATTGATATCGGGTATGCGTCGGCAGGGGATCGAACCCTGGACCATATACATTGTCGGCGACCACTGTGCCACCGACGCACTACAGTACCAGACGTCGACGCTATAGCTCGTGGGGATGAGCCCCAAATTAACTCAAATATGTGAGGGACACAAAAATGTCTTAACTTTGACTGATCAGCTTATCTCTCACAAAGATTTTCCTGCACATATTTAGGTCGCTTATCGTAGTAGTTATCAAACGTTTGTTCGAAGATAGTAGTGTATGTTCGCATTGTTATACAGGCTATCAATTCAATAATTGCTGGCATCTTTTTATTTTTAGTAAAAAACAAGCAGTGTTCGCATCCACGGTAACTATTATCAGCATTACCGAAATCGGGCTGGGAATGTGATAGGCATTTTGGTATACTGGCAGTTGTTTCCCCTAAGAATCTAAGGAGCTATGCAGCCATTCGCACTTCATTTGTATTTTGGATTAGTATTTCAGCCTAATGATGGGTAACATCTGAAGAATAGCAACCAATCCAATAAAGTCGTTTCCTCCTTAACCATCATTTCATCCACCAGTCGCTGTGCAGTCCTATCCTGATGTTTCCTTCGCTAAAATTAGACTAGACATTAGCTTGGATTTAGGATTATTTTGCTTTTACTATTTAAGGTGGGTCACAGACTTAATTATAATGCTAAATGTCTTTCCAAACCTTGGCGAATGAAATGTTAGGAATATGTGCGAGCACAAAGAAATCAAATTGGTTTATACTAGCTCGTAAAATAATAATAATTTGCTTTATTCCAAAACAGTACTTCTGATACAGAATGGAATTCTCAGCATTTTTACTACAGTATTGCATCCAGTTAGTACATTGTCAATAAATAGAATTCTACATAGATTGAGGAAACCACAGTTCATTATTACAACAATACATTGGCATGTTCAGTAGCAAAGGTAAAGCTGAAACAGTGTTTGAAGGTGTTAGAAAGGTGGGAGCTGTCTTATTAACTGGCGTAAGCGAGAGAAAGAGACAAAGCAGCACATAACGGAAAAAGAAGAGAGAGAAAAGGAACAGAAAGAAAGGAAATGTTTTACCTATTGATGAAGTGGGTTGGAAAGATGAGATCCAGTTGTACTAATGACTATTTGATGAATTATAGGTGTCACGCCTAATGCTTTCTTTATCACACAGACACGAGCTAAGTAGGGTATGGTTGAGTTTTGTACTTGCTGGTGCGAGCATATAGTTTTCTATATTGGCTTCCGGTCCTACCTGATGAGATGCAGGAGGAGAGTTGTGAGTGAAGAGGGTGGTGTGAGTTAGATAAAATGGATTTGGCCCATTTTTCACATGAGTCCATGTGCCTGTCAACCAGAGTATTAGCAGGCTGGTTAAGTGGTACGTTGCTTACCCTGCTGACAACATTTAACATCCTGCGTAATATGTTATAGTCTTTCTTCAGTAGCCCAGGAAAAACTAAGGGGGAACAATAGAGAATAATAGGCAGGATGCGAGAATTAACGAATTGTAGGAGTAGGGGTTGGGTAATACCAGAATGTTTTAACTTCTTGATGTAGAAGGTAAGACAGAATATTTTCTTAGAAATTGCTAGGATATGAGACGACCAGGAGAGATCAGCAGATAGAATGACACCTAGGTATTTAATTTCCGATTTAGTTTCTATTTCAGTGCCGTCTATTTTGCATACCTCGTGAGAGCCAAACAGTTTGTTTAGGTCGGATTTATGCCTAAAGGTGAAATTGACTGTTTGGCATTTGGAAGGGTTTAGAGTAAGACCATTTTCCTTGGACCACTGGTTGATTTCTGACAGAAAGCCATTAAGTTTAGAGCAGTCGCTTTGACATTTGATAGGCAAAGATACAGACAGATCATCAGCGTATTTGACAAAATTAATGTCATTTGAAGATGGTAAGTCATGTAGAAAGAAGGAAAAGAGAAGTGGGGAGAGTACAGCGCCTTGGGGGACTCCGGCTTCAGTGAGTGCAGCAGAGGATGATTTACCTTTGTATACGGTGTACTGCATTCTGTTTGAGAAGTAGGAATGCAACCAGTTAGTGACCCAGGACTCAGTTTTCGTCAAGGAGAGCTTATTTAGAAGGAGACATCTAGGAACAGAGTCGAAAGCAGAAGTGAAGTCAAGAAACGTGCAGCGGACGTACTGGGCACCTTTGCCTAATGATGAGACAATGTTGTTGTGTAAGACAGCTGCAGCGTCTAATGTACTCCTACCCTGTCTATAGGCAAATTGTTTGGGGTCTTCGAAGTTTTTAAGGGAGGGTTCGAGTTTAAGAAGTATTAGTTTTTCCATAAGCTTTAGAAATGGGGAAGTGATGGCAATGGGTCTGAACTTTACGTTCTTGCCGTTTCCAGGTTTAGGGACAGGGACAATTTTGATGTCTTTCCATGCATCAGGTACGATATTTTTAGAGAAAGAGGCATTTAGGATGTTGGTTAGTGGAGAACACAACACATCTGCACATTGTTTTAGAACATAGGCAGGTATACCATCAGGACCAAGACTACGTGAGTGCTTGAGTGTTTTAAGACATTTTAGAACATCAAGAGTGTTAAAGTCATGAAAGTTTTCAGCTACATGATAGGTAACATTAGAAGTAGTTAAAGTAGAAGGACAGCGTATAAAAGACTGATTAAGAGCATTAACATCATAAGAGGGAAAAGTATTACAACGCTTACTATTACCAGTAATTTCATTAAAAAGTTTCCACATACTGATTGGAGATTTACATGATAAAAGTGTATCATTATAGACAGCATTAAGATTTTTGATTTCAGATTTGATCTGAGCATTAATCTTTTTGAGTCCTAACTTGTCTTTGGATTTGTACGAAGTTTCTTTTTTCCTGCGAAGTTGTTTGAGATAAGGAGATGAGAAGCGGTCGAGACGTTTGAATAGAGTTTGTTTGGGACAGCATATATCAAGGCAAAACTTGAGATAATCCGTTATATTGACGATTGTGTCATCTAATGAACTTTCATGGAATAAGTCCCAGTTAGTATTTTGTAACATGCTCCTTAGATTGAGTAAGTTTTCGGATGAGTAGCATCTTTGTTGTGCTTTCATAGACAGATGCGAGAAGACTTTAATGTGTGTTTTGCTGTAAATTTCTGGTAGAACACGAACAATTGAGTGATCAGAGTTGAGGATCGGTGCACGTTTACGTGCTTCATAGATTCCTTCGTCATTTGTAAAAACTAAATCCAGTGTTTTGTCTAGTCGAGTGGGAAATTTGACAATGTTAGAGTGACCAAGTGCTTCAAGGAAGGAGCAATCTGACGAGTTGAAGTCCCCAGTAATAACAGACAGCGAGTTGTCGAAGTTGGCAGCGGCGAACATGGTGAATTCATCGGCAAAATTTGAAAGATTAGATAGTGAGCAACTTGGAGAAATGTACATGTTTGTGATAAAGATGTGTTTATATTTGGGGAGATGTTTGGGACGACATTTGACGGTGATGCAGTCTATGAAGTCATTTGAGAATGAGAAGCAAACATTATTAGAAATAGACCATTTTGAGTTAATAAAAGTTGCTACTCCACCCGCATTTTTCTTATTACAACATATTCGGTCTTGTCTAAATAGGATGAAGTCCTTTAGAGAGATGAGATTGTCATCGTACAGTTCGTGTAACCATGTTTCTTGTAATGTGATTATCGCAGTATTGTGATAAGTGTCAGTGGACATCAAGCATTGTAGGTACATTATTTTTTTTGGCAGGGAGCGGCAGTTAGTGTTCATTATGACAGGGACCGTAGTTAAGTGTATTGGTGTACGTTTAAGAGCTCTCTGCCAGCCACTACGATGCTTCCTCCTTGATTTCTTGGGAATATGAAAGTTATTGGGTCGTAAATGAATGATAAAGTTGCGAGAGTAAATGATCATTTAGAATTCATATTTGGGTGATAAATAAATGGAGTAAATGGTAGGTTGGATGCAATATGTAGATTTTATGATAGCAGGCCAAAAAATTCAAACAGGCCGCCAAGGTCTTATAGATATATATTGGATGTTGGATGTGCGGCTTTTTCACCGTCTGCGTTACACGTACATGCTGAAAGTAAGACGAATTTTAATTACTTTAAATTGGTAACGCAGTGCTTAGTTTGATTTTGACCGTTAGGACCTAGATCGATTGAACAAAACTCTGTTTCTCTCGGGTACTGTAGGAACTGCTGTAATTTATTGTAATGCGTGGACATGTATTGTTCCACTCATCTAATCTGGAAATCTGATCAGGGAGTTGAGAAATTAAATGCGGGGTGTGAAAATTTTTTATGGGATCATCATGTGATAAAATAGTGCATCACTGAGATGAGATATTGAAGAGCTACATCTGTAGTAAGCATTTATTGTGTATTACTTTCCAAACAGCTTCTATCTACTTTGTTGTACCTCTCGGTAGATTTATTTATGGCTCCGCCATTATCGTAGGTCTGTAAATAACCTAGCTAGTAGAAACTTCGGGTGGAAAACTGCTGAAAATCTTTCGGCGCACATGTGGATGACGTACTTATTTGTACGAAGTTCTGAAGATATCTGCAGTGTGCACTAAATTATCCACCGTGTCGTCAATGCATCACATTCTTATCTTAAAAAAGTGCTGGTATCGAAAGCTGCTCTTATATACGAAAGGTAACTTAAATTGTAATGATAAGTAGCGTGCAATTATCCAGTGCGTAACTGAAAATTAAAGTTGTGACACGTGGCGGACCATATGCCTTCAACATAATAATATTCGCTTAAGTATGACGAGAGCTTCCTGTATGTCCTGTTATCACCAGTGGTGAGAACTGCGTGTTGTTCTTGAGGATAGTAAGATACTTAATAACCGATAAGTGTAGGTTCCTCTGTTTGATTCTTCCAGACAACCTAGCCTGATGGAAGCATTCTGACGGTACATATCGTCAGATTGTTTATTTTGAAACTCCACACAGGCGTTGCCTGTCATTTTCCGAAGTGCTTCAGGATTTCAATATTTCTTAGACCTATGAAATCCTGGTGCATGCTTTCGGCCACAGTTATCCTTGTCTTATACAGTTCTCAGTCATCAGGGTTACCTCTGTTTATACCTTTTTTCTTATATAGGCGTGTATCCTATAGTTTCTGTAAAATTTGACTTACTTGAAGGCGGGTAATAGTCATATTATAGGTCATCGGGAGAAGACACACTAAAAGGTAATTGTGTTCAGGAAATATACGGTATCCTTACAACTTGAAGGGCCTTTGCTGACTTCCTAAAAATAGGTGTATTAAACTCAAAGTCCTTACCTCTCTGAAATTGGGGTTGGTAGTGTAAAGAAGCCCTATCCACAGCCAATATAATTGGCCTCCTGATATTATAACTATTGGTTATAAACGATAAAATGCCGGTTGGCCCTATTTGGAGTTGCTGATTCACTGTTACCAGTTAACTGTAGTCACTCTACTGGTAACTGAGCAATGGTATCTAAAAGTAGTTCATTAAAATGAAAACCTCCTTGGTCTCCCTAGTATTAGAAATTTGTAACTGGTTGAGCCGTCCATAGGCTCCACGTGCAAATGCATGAGAATGAAATCATAGCCTTGAGAGATCCTCACCGAATTTGTTATCATTCGAACCTCGGCGAGGATAGACACCTTATTCAGTGCTGGAACAGTGAGATGGGAAGAAGGGAGAACTGCGATTGTATGTTTGTTAAGTTTGTGTATGTTAAATAAGTATGAGAGCTTACGAAAAATAACACCAATTTTTTGTATTTGGTGTCTCTATACTGTGCCTGAGTGCAAGTATACGTAAAACCCTATCTATTACATCTAGTGAAAATTATTTAGAGTTAGAAAAATACAAAAGACTAAGGTATGTGCACTTAACATTTATTCCCGCATAGTTAACAGTGTTTTTCCTCCATAGTTATCTTCCTAATAAATCTCGGTATCTCTTGAATCCAGTGGTTTATCGAAAAAAGACTTGGATTTATTATGGGCCCGGAATCGGACTCCTGTATCATTGATGACTAGAAATAACTCCTGGTAGGCTATGGGTCACTGTTCAGGGCACTCGACTACCAGTCACGGTTTCGGACCCCACTGCACCTTCCGAAGTTTGTCAGCCAGGTTGTATCACTAGGCTTCACGCAGTAGGTGTAGCTCATTGCTGACTGCAAGTGATTGTTGAGTAATATGATTTTATATTATGATACCTTGTAAAAAAAACCCAGGAGTGGTTTGTGTAATTTCAGCGTAACTCATCACGTTGCTCTCTTATGCGTAACTGACTGAATAAAAGCTCATTGCTGAAATCGGTAGTTTTTTTGTCCTCTGCTTTTAGTAGCCATGTCCCATAGTTGCAAATTAAGTCGAAGCGAACTGCTGTGTAGCATACATGTCCTTTAGTGTGTAGCTAGAAATAATGCAAGTGAAAGAGCCCCAAACAGAGTTTTGTATCTGTGCTTGGGTTTTATCAGTGGTCAGTGCACTTTAGTTACTTCCAGAATAAATAAGAATCATCATGTTCGACTATTCTTCCTGACTAGAGGTATTTCCTATCACACTCTTCACTCTTCGAACAGTCAATTACTGACGTCACAGGAAAGTATCTGTGTTTTCTTTGGACTTGTCTGAATTCTGATTAGTAACTCAGTTCTTTACTTGTTAAGTCTCATAAATTATCCTACTCAACGGCTTCTTTGGCTGCTTCAAGTAATTGAAAATAACAATGTCGTATTTATTTATTTATTTAAACGCATTAAAGCTTGGTACAATATGGCACCAAGAAGGATGCGCCACACAATAATAATAAAACAACAGATGAAAAAAAGGAAGGAAGGCAGGAAAAGAAAAAAATATATATAAGTAGAGGACGAATAAATAACTTCATCTGGAAGGAAAGCACTCATTCTTAACAGGTTCAAACAGTGTTCGTTAACTATCATCGGGAATGGAAGAAAGAAGGAAATCGCAACACATTCGCCATTGATTACGATTCTTGGCCATATCCGATAACGTTTCGAGCCATCGATTTGAGCTATCTCTCAGACCCCAACCAGGGAGTCGTGACACACCAACCGATGCTAATCTAGCACAGAAATCCTTCATCCCACGACGCCACGTCATGGGCTGACCACCTCTCCGCCTTTTCCATCCCGTCCCAGGGCTAGCGAACAGAGACCTGTACGGAAGCCTCTGGGGTGACATTCGCAGCACATGTCCAAGCCACCGGAGCCGGTGTTTCCAGATGACGACATTCAATGAATGGTGATCTCCACTGTGTTCAAACACACGCCGCCGAACCTCAGAATTACTCACGCGATGATGCCATCGAACGCAAGCAATCCTGCGGAGACAGCGGTAATCGAACACGCAGAGTCGCCTCACATCCTCAGCTCGGAGAGGCCAGGTTTCACAGACGTAGAGCAGCGCAGCCCGCACCGAAGCATTGTATACCCGACCTTTGACAGCCAGGCTAACGTCGCGACGGCGCCAGAGGTGGCTCAAGTTGATGTATGCCACCCTAGCTTTCCGATCGGGATATCTTATTCCCTAATCGCATTACCCTCCTAACTTTTGTCTCAGAGTACTCAAAGACATTAGTGCTTTCATCTCTTGCATCCTATTTTATTACTTTTCATGTTGTGTACAGATACAATTTGTCTAATTGAACCATTACTTCGTAAACCTAGGAAGTATGTCGAATTTTTTTGAGTAAATATGAGTCATGAGAGAAAATTTAAGGTATTCCAGTTTTTTATTTTATGATACTCAGCAAAATAATTAATGCTGTTAAGATGTTAACTTGTCTTCTCATTTCTACTCATTGTTGAAACCATTTATATAGTAAATGTCAGTATTGGTGGCCTGCAGTTTACGTGAAGCGTGATTAGTCATTGTAATCTTGGATAAAAATATCGACAGTTTCATCATATATTGATGAAGAGCTTTTCTTGTTTAATTTCACGCACAAAAACATCATGTACTCGGAGTTTAATCAGTAATGTACTTTATGGAGATGAAATAGTAGTACCAAAGCATCATAAAAAGGCGTCGGTGATGCAAAATGTGGGACGATTAAAGGCAGAAATCAGTGCTAATTGTAAAACGAATGTAATGATTGCTAAAAAAGAAAGAAGTTCGTATCCTGAGTTAAATGAGAATGATTCAAAGATCAAGTAAAAGTGGTTTTATTGCTGAACTATTTTTATAGAGAAGTTTCATTATTAGCTCGCACACAGTTTTTGCCCACTGGTTCTCCTGAACATGAACTGCGTAAATATCCTGCTATTGTTCTCGAAGGAAGCAAATTAATATCTGATGCATTGGCTACAGGAGGGAAAGCAACATCTTTATTTTTTTCATCACGAATTGCTCTCGAACAGATCAATGATCTAAGTCGTGTGTTGAATATCTATTATGTGAACCCTGGCGTTATGAAGCAGCTGTCATCTCTTAAAACTCCTCCCGGAGTGATTGGTACGTTTGTGGTGGGTTACAGTGTTGGTTTAACGTTTAATTATAAAAGTAATACGAAAATTATCTGTACTAATTTTTTTACAAAAAGCATTTGTCTGTTTATAGCATTATAAAGGTTTGAAATCAATATCTTACGTTAATCTTAGTTAGACCTGGTTGGATATGGCAAGTTCATCTTACGCTATTGGACATTACTTAAGAGTATCATTTTAAGCTATGTGCATCACCGAAATATTATTTAAAGGTTTAACCATACTATAGACTGTAGCAAATGTTCGTGAGCATAACTTGTTGGTGCTAAAATTATAATCCGCTAGTATTGAAAAGCTTACTTTTATCTGTTGTGTTTAGCTTTTTATAGTGATATATGTATATATTTCATGTTGGCACTTAGATTTATTGTAAATGACTGAGACTTTGAGGTTGTATATTTCTTTTACGTATTTCTTCTGAACTATGAAATATACTTAAGGTTAGCGCATACTTCAGCCTCATAAAGGAGACTATAAAGGAAATAGTAATGAGAAAATTTTCCATATATTTTCAAGTGTATCGCTGAAAATTTTCGTTATTACCAGACAGGTAAAGAAAGCAACCACCATTTAAAACCACTACATCTCTTGGCAATATGAAGAAAAGTAGAATATCGATCTGTCTCCTGTTCAACGTAGTCTAATTGTGTTGATAATATACACAAACACTTAGTTTTGTAGTATTCAGCATTATACTTACATGTAGCTTATGCGAGGATATTTAGTTGATTTGTCGTTATTATCAAAACTAGAGATGCCCCACACAAGATCTCCTAGTTTGTGCAAGGGCTAGGATACTGCCCGGACGTCCAGACCTTGGCAAGTGGCTGTTTTGAGGGGCCGCTCTTGAGCCTTTAATTTGGAGCCTGATCCACAAGGCAAAGGAGCAGTGGCAAGAGCTACGTTCTCATTGTTTCTGGTAACCAAAATGGGTTCATACGCCATTCGATCGTTTCTGATTGTGGAGCTTATGTACACTATAGATTTTGAATAAGGTTTTCCAGCTCCCGTAGGTGAGTATGCACACCCACCAGTCCTGTTGTAAATGCCAGACTTTTTCATTCGCACTTTCCCTTTTGTGAGGAACATCCCAGACGTGACCTGAAGGCAGTGCATAAGAATTACCTGGCAGAGGCTATTCACACGTGGTCACATGGGAGCATTTCAGCAGGAAGATTAAAGTTTACGCACTCTCAGCTCTACTATGCCGCCAACTTGGGCATTTAGTTGATATGATCAAATTATTATAGGCTGCTCATTTTCTTGATAAAATTTTCTAAACATAATAATTTATGGAGTCCACTCGAATGAAAGAGAACGAGTCTCGACTTTCTTATTATGGTTTTAACTATTTAATTTTTCACTTTTAGCTCTCTTTGAAGTACCACAAGAAAACGTTTGTCACACAAAGGAGGCAAAATATCACTTACCTGTATCGCTTATCCTTGACCGCATTAGCGACCCTGGCAATATGGGCAGTTTAATACGATCTGGTGCAAGCTTTGGTTTGACTTCTATTTTGGTGACGAAAGGTATATATATATATAATCTGCTTCTTTTTATGGGTAACTATAGATTTACTTTCTGGCTTCATGCATTTATTTTCAAATTATGTTTGTCGGCGGTTTCGCCTCTACTACTCAATGTTATACTTATCCACCAAATGTGTATAGTTTCGAGATTAGTTCTTGTCGAGCTTTTGTGTCAGTTTTCCAGTAAATGGTAGTGTGTAATTGTCTACCACATCGATGCAGCATATCAACATATCTACCGAATTATGTTTTACTGCAGTGCCAGATTTCTTCTACATCATCTTTTCTGTAATCTTCAATACATTTCAGTCGGATTATGAGCATTATAGGTTATTTCTTGATTTCCTTTAGGTAGTGTTAATATTTGGAATGAAAAGGCAATTCGAGGAGGAATGTCTGCTCATTTTCGCATACCTATTTACCAAGGACTAAGTTGGGCCGATATCAGTCGTCATTTTGGAATATGTGATGGTTCATTTTCTCCTGTTACAGTCTTCGTAGCTGACCCTGATCCACTTTTAACTGATAGATTAATCGAATCGGCTTGGAAAACCGATTCACCTGTGAGTTTACCTTATTTTTACTCTGTTCATCGTTTACCTTTTCAAATGTATAAATTCTGTTCATGAAATGCATATATCACTATAGTTATATTTATCGGAAAACCATCCCACACCTATTCGAAAAGTATTTTCGATATTATTTGTTTTACAGTTACGTACAAGTTTTGATTTCTGTGATAGTATAAAGGGTTAATGAGTGTTACATTTTTTTGGAATTTAAATATTTTGCAGCCTCATTTTTTAGTTGGTATACGGTTTACTTCTATTTGTTGTATTTACAATGAGATACGAACTGTCTTATCTCTATAACATGAAGTCAGTATGATTGTTCATGCTGGAGTTTACTCCTTGTTAACATTTCTCAAATATATTTGGATGTGGAATGGTAGTATATTTGCTGTCGAAAATTTATCCAGATTTTGGGTTTTGTAGGAATTTCTATTAATTTCAATGTAAATGTTTTCATGAACCGATATCAGTCAGAGTGGCTGGACGGTCAACAAGTTGGCCGTGTTACATGAAATTCCTGGATGCACACTACTGAAGTGTCCCAAACTGGGACGAAACAACTATCCGGTACTCCTTAGTTTTGAGTGATTCTCTAACTGACATCAGTTGGTGGCGTAATGTACATTCAGAAATTCATGATTGAAAGTTGTGGTCTGAGGCGCTACAGCGGATCTACCGAAAGTAACAGTAAATTGATACTGAAGTGAATCCATTGCTATCAGGTTTTCGGTTTTAGCACTAAAAAGGGAACGTGATGATGCGTAAATGTACTTGATATAATGATGAAAATTTCCATGAGATTTTATATGTTCTGGTAGTGGTACTGATCTGAACTCGGTTTTTCATTTGGAGATGTCGATGTTATTTCAGGTGTCATCTTCAGTGGTACTTCATTCCCAGGTGAAATCAAATCGGACAGGAAAATAATGTTGTTTGGAGGAAAATTAATGGGCATGTATGTTATTCTCAAAGCTATATAAATAGTATTTTTAAAAACACTGTACTGCAAATCAAATGATTGGTCTGAAGTGCTAGATCACTAGCTGGTCTACATATTCGTGACATTTTTTGTTCACTCCCAGGTAATTAAGTGAGTTGAATTAGAGTATATTCAGGGGATGAAAATAGAAATTGACTGTTAGTACAACTTTTAACTGAAATCAATGCTACTAAGAAAATAAATTCTCTATCAACGAAAGAAAGCAGACTATGACGCTTGTTTCGAATCATCTGTCAAGTTTTAAGTCACCTGATATATGTGTATATGTATTTTTGGACATCCTGCAGGATTGTCTTCTCTTACTTTTAATTTCGTAGTTGTGATCACCCTCCGTAGTTCTTTCGTAGCCTCAGTTTATATTGCCTTACATATATATCAATCTTTCCCAAACTAATGAATAGTTTGGAGATCTACAAGCTCAACAAAAATATTTTCTTGAAAAATGTTCATTTTCAGTTCATCATAGAAATGGTCTAACTGAGAAATATCTCGTCAAGTATGTTCAATTTACTTGTTCCCAGCATACGGTTGTTTGTTTCCGAAACGAATCTGTTGTATGTCGTAATTGTACAGCATTTTTGAATCCGGACCATAAATTTTCAAATAAACATCAAAAAGTAAACGTAACGATGGGTAAATGTCTTGCTTTGATAGTCTTCTTAAAGACTATCCAATCTATATAGTCGTTTGACAGTAAGATTTTTATCTTCTAAATACATTTTGCATCACCTAATTTGAATTTCGTTATATTTATGCATAATGTTTACAGGAACGTCAACCTGATGATGTAGAGAAATCCGAAAAGTCTACCGTATCCGAAGCTGTTGGCACTCCTTCTCCTGAGTCAACGAGTACTGCCTATCGTTTGCCAGTACAAACTATGCCACACTTTAATATAAATTATGTCCCTTCTGATTACAATGCTGATAGACGTGACTGTCGTATTGCAATCGTCTTAGGTTCTGAAGCTCATGGTGTTTCTCCGGAAGCTTTTCATCTAGCACATCTCACTGGAGGATGTCGAGCTGTTATTCCGTCTGCAAAAGGAACTAACAGTTTGAATGTTTTGTCTGCTGCCTCTGTTCTTCTAGGAGAAATACAACGTCAATTTCTTACTACATAGCTGTACCTTTTCTATCCAAATATAATGATTCTATTTCTAATTTGTCTGTTGGTCTTTCATCTAACCTATAATAGTCTGGATGCTTAATATGTCGCATTTTATGGTACATAAATTGCACTTTTTAATGATTCTGTGTAGATGGTCCAAAATAGATGGTCATATGTATATATCGTTAATAGCCCTTTGAGTCTGTATTAAAATATATTAATTGTGGTCATCAACAGTAGTTAGGTGTAAAGAATGGTGTAGCACCTCAAGTAATCATCATAAAATGTCACCAAGATTGACTTGCGGAATACATTTTTAGTTGTTAGTTGGCCTGTGTTTGGGAAATTCGCTTTTTTTACTAAGTCATCCGCTGATGCCTACAGTATATTTGAATTACCTCTTCCACAATTTAAACCAACATAAAATTCACTCTATTACAGTATCCATTACATCTTTCGTCTCTCGTTTTTAGGTGTTTTTCTGAAAGGTTCATATTTATGAAAGAGTATTAAGCAGCTGCCTAAGGAGAGAACTACCATATGTTTTTTTTTAAAAATTGTAGTTTAGAGCACAAAACGGTAGTGGAAACAAAAATTTCACCTTCCTTATAGTCAATAATCGAAAAATCAGTATAGCATATCTTTCCTCAGTATTCTGGTAGTAAAATAGATAGTTTACTCTATGAAATGAACCCTCTGTTTTGAAGCATATGCATATGGATTCTGCATATTTTTAATTCATGTAAATTCCTAACATGATATGAAGAGAATAAATCGAACTTAACCTGGATTGAAAAGTGTTTCAACTTTTGGTCATGTTGGGAAGCTTTAAGGACATAAAATTTAAAGTATTTTGTCGCCTTCTTCATTTGTTATCGAATAAATGGATAACAATGGGCAGATATATTTGTGTAAATAAATATATTAGATGTGAAACTTCGGCTTTCAGGTTTGTTAGATTAGCTTTCGCAAATAGTTCTGAGTACAGTACGTTGTAATGTAAAGCTGAAGAAACATGTAGTGTTTAGCATGAATATACTGCTCAGTAAGTTTCAAAGATGCTGTTATATTATTATGATATCTAGTATACACAAAGTGAAGAATGATTATTCATGTTATTTTTTATGTGGTTTTGCAGAAATCCTAACTGTAATGGAAGACAAGACAACTGATGTTGATAAATTTCCCTGTGAAAATGAATCTGTACATACATGTGATTGTATAAACATCTTGAAGTTAAATCCATCCAGTGAAAACAATAATGACGACGGTAGTGTACCTACTTGCCTAAATCCAAACTGTCCATACGCTTATCTTAAACGAGATGGTTTTACTTCTGAAGCATTCAAGATACAAGTGAAGAATATACTTCGTTATGCAGGTTTCGGCGTAAGCATTAACTAATATTTGTTTTGACTTAAACTAAATAAGTGTAAATTGTGGTAAGCTATAATTAACTTTCCTGTTTTCGTATATTCAAAAAAAATGGACAGTTAAATAATTGTCGATAAGTATTGGTTTTGTAGGGATTTGGTTTGATTGCATGGAGGGTTTCATCATGAGCTGACATCAGTTAGAGAACCACTGGAAAACCAGCTGGGAGTACTGGACAGCTGTTTCGTCCTAGTTTGGGGCTCTTCAGCAGTACGCGCCCACCGGGATTCGAACCCAGGACCTTCTGGTTACGAGGCGAGCTCGTAGACCATTGAGCCACTGGGACCCGATCCAATGGTCCTTGAATTCTAACTTCTGCCAATTCACGATGCTCACTAGTGACTGGCCCTATTCAGGCAGTTAACCTGGGGTTCTAGTGGGAAGCCGTGACCAGTAGGGTACAGCAGGTCGAAGATGAGGACAGTTACTCATCGAAGAAGACATTGCGAAATGGTCGCGCTATATCGTGAATTGGCAGAAGTTAGAATTCAAGGACCATTGGATCGGGTCCCAGTGGCTCAATGGTCTACGAGCTCGCCTCGTAACCAGAAGGTCCTGGGTTCGAATCCCGGTGGGCGCGTACTGCTGAAGAGTCCCAAACTAGGACGAAACAGCTGTCCAGTACTCCCAGCTGGTTTTCCAGTGGTTCTCTAACTGATGTCAGCTCATGATGAAACCCTCCATGCAATTGTCGATAAGTTGAACGATTTATTGACATTAAATAGCTTGCATAATATATAGAATTCAAAAGTTAGTTGAATGTTTCACTAGACTACTTACGTGGCAATTTTTAAATTGAAATTTTAGATTTCCAAGGAATATTTTCTCAATCTTTTGTTCAATATTTTACAAATATTAAATATGCGGAATTGGAGATAGTCTAATATTTCCGCTTGTAAATTGCAGTTTTGATTTTCAACAAATACAATGTTACGCTTCGTTATTAAAGTTGTCAGTATCTGTTCAGCTGCTACTTATTGGAACTGATCAGTAGTGTTACGATTCGCTAATAATAATTATAACAGTCTGACTTACCTGACTCAATCTGATTACTCTATCAAATCATACAATTTTACTAAATTATCCGGTCTCCGAGCTCATTTATAATCATTTTTGTGTTAAACTTGTTGCTACCCATTTTGCCTTGGAAAAGAGTCTCTTCTACGACACAGCTAAAAGAATTTGTCAGTTTTGCACATTTATACTTATGATTGAGACCTAATATTCCAGATTACTCTCAGTTATTATCGTTATTATGTCATGTAATGATCTGAAACAAAAACGTTGCTTTGTGTAAAATGAGTACTACTGAATTCTCCATCTCTTAACAGAAAATTATAAAGTCAAACTTCCTCCGAAAAAAATATTTTGGTTACCACGTTTACCGGTGTGTAACAAGAAGATACCAGTTATGCGTTGTAGTGCTCAGTAGTTGTAGTGTCCTGCATCTGTTACGTACTCGTGTGACGCTACAGTTTGACATGTCCGATATGCTTAACACGTGTTCACCTACCGTTTAAACTGTCAATGAATTCGGTCTGACACTCTGACATAGATTCCTATATAATATTGGTGAGATTGCCACCTCTCTATCTATGAAACATACTACTTCTCGGCCGTTTACTCGCAAATTAGAATACCCGGAACTCCTTTCAATAGCCGTCACTACTTCTAGTTTGATAGGAGAGAGAGAACACACATTATACTGTCTGAAAATTTCTCTTTTCCTTCTTTCTGGGCAGTGCCTCCTAAAGTGTCCTGCCTTGCCACATTCAAGGCATCGGTCTTTCCTGACATTCATTCGTAGTGCCACCGCTTCACTCTGCAAATCTTCGATTTTCTGTTCCCATTCATTCAATTTCGGTGGCTCTGTTGCCACCACCGCTGTGCTCAACAGCTATCTGGTCACCTTTACTAGTTCCACGATGTCCATGGGTTGTGCAGCGTAGACCAGCTATAGTTGCTGAGAAATGTGTTCTGGGACATTAATAACTGCGACTCCGACTTGTCATCCAATGTGGAGAGTGCGCGACGTAGTAGATTCGCTAGCTTCACCGCCAATACTAGTGAGTCTCCGTCCAGTTCCAGCTTCGCGGCATGGTACTGCTGCATCGCCAGCTGTATGTCCGTTGGGCTGTCGAACTCTGCCACCAATCGTTCAACCAATACCTCTCACTTGACCGCTCCACACTCGTACGCCACCTCTGCTCGACCTCTAAGCAGTGTCCCTAACAAGACCGCCCTTGCCATCGGATCATTGACACCCACCAACTCAGCGACGGCCTCAAAGTCCCGCAAGAAGCTTCGTATGTCTCCTTCCTTGAAAGCAGCCGGTTATGGAATCTGCACTGTCTGGAGGTAGCGACACCAATTGTGACGGTAGGAGACCAGAGACTTAGTAACGGAATGTTGATTTAGAATTTGGTATCTCTATATAGCGAAGTTGTGTACACCGTATCTTCAAATCCCCATTTTCACAAATCTTCCGTGTTGTGCTACTTCTTTCCTTTTAATGTGTTTCTTTGTGTTCCTTTCACATCTCCCATGTTTCTCCGAAATGCTGCATCATTTGCTTTCTCTGACGTCAAATCTATCTCCCTGCTATCTGATGTTTTTATGCCGATGAACGTGTGTTTATATACTACTGATAAATCTTACCAGTAGCACACGCCACACCAACTTGGAAGTCCACATTCTAACTTGTCTAAGACTATTTTGTTTGATAGATTTATGTGAATGTTTTTATGACATATCTTAAAATTTTAACACACTTTTTTGAAATGATCTTCATCTTGATTTATTTTAAAGCAAATGAAAAAGATGTTGCAATCTTTGAATATTAATTTTCACAAGCTTAAACTAATCAAAGGAAATGTTGCATTTCTTTCATTTGAGTAAGTTTTTGCAAAATATTCTTAATAAACCTACTATGTAGATCTGCAGCTGATCGTGACTTTGCTATCTCTGCTCTGAATGGTTACAACTGGAAAGGATCGACATTAATAACCAAGGTAGGTTGTCGCACAATTTTATTTTATTTACCCCTTTCTATGATTTCCTGTTATTTTGATTAGATGCATTATGTTATTTAATAAGGCATCTAGGTTTTGTATTTACTGGGCCTTTTTAACAAGGCGTGTCTTTTGGATGAAGGCAAATCTCTATTCGCAAATTACAGCTTTCGACGTGAAAGTTCACTATGCTTTCCTTAGGAAAATCACAACATTCAAATCGTAATATGTGACATATTTTGTACCGTTACTGGTAATCGAGAAGGCAAGCAAACCTACCTGATGTTTTCTACTCTTGATGGATACCACTAGTTAGAAACTTTTCACGTCAATTAGTAGTACTTGCTAACCAGATCAATGGTAATGCGAACACAAACTTGTTATTTTACATACTTACTTGATTGCCATTTATGGTGTCAAGCATGTCATATTTTGTGATATTGAATATTTAGATTTTTCAAAGGAAATTGTGGGTGGTTTTCACCTCGAACTGTGCACTTTGAAAATTACTAATTGTATTGCCAGTTCTCCTAAGTAACTAGTCAGAATTCACATCTTTGAGATAAGTGGATAGGAGTACACTGCCTGTAAACTGTCTGAAACAAGCGAAATGCCCCCTGAGTGCTTGGATCACTCCACTTTGAGTATCTAGCACTAATGTTTGACAGGAGTCGTTCCACCTATTCATATCATTCAGTGGTATATACGATCTTGCCACTGCTCATGTTCTGTTTAGAATTTCAGTCAGCATCATCAAATGCCACATTACTAAATTTACAACTCACCCTCTGTAGAATTCCTTAATGTACCCTTTAGTTCGCAAGTGATAACCTACATTGTTGTGAATTTTTATTTACTGACCAGCATCAATCAACTTTCAAACTTTCCTTAGGTCCTTAGTATATATTTGCTTTGGATGCTCTTTGTCTAACGAAGGTGTTCATAACGCAAACGATCTGTCAAGTTCACTCTTAGAATATAAATTTTGTTTTCTTTTCTTTTGCGGGAATCTCAACAAAGTTGTTCTTGAGTATGTGAGTCGTTGCTGTAAAAGGCTGGTTAGGACTATCTATTGAAATATAGCTTTGGGTCTTGTGATCAAATAGCTGTGGATTAGTAGGATCGAAATAAAGGTCGTCCTATACGCTGAAATTACGATGATTGTGCTGAAAATTTCTTTTATCTGGACGTTGGACCAACTGGATACGATCAATTTCAACTGTCAATTAATTATCGTCCTGAACTTCACAATTCTTGCCATACAAGTGTGCTTGTGTGTGTGTTTAGTGTCGATTCGAAACCATAAATGTGGAATTAAGCAAACGTGAGGCTATTCTAGTCTATTGCATGCTTAAATAAACTTCATTCTCTGAGATATAGGCATTATATTGCCAAAAATATTGTGAAGCGATACGAATAATATTTTTTCCGGATGTTTCGCCGTATCAGTTACAGCCTCTTTAATAAGACTACTTGAATTTCACTTAAAAATTACTTGTCAGGGAACTTTAAAGTCTGTTTCAGTAACGTAGTATTGTATGACATTATTGAAAATGATTCATTTAAATAGATTTTTAATCTTGGTGTATGTCAGCACAAATTCACATCAGCAAGAGAACTTTTCAGTAATCCTAACCCAAGACGCTAAGAAGTATCTTTTTTCGAAGTCAGCCCACTATCATCCAACCAGTGTATCCGAGTCCGATGACCTGAAGTTCCTAAATTTCGTCAATTGATAATGTAAAGTAGTTACCAGTGCCTAGGTAGGAACGCATTCATCTCATAAATCGCTAATCGTGGGATTGAATTCTTATGACGTCATCGAGTACTAAGTGCTGAGATTTTTCAAAGCATAATAAAAATTATCTTTGTAGTGCTTCTTAGTTTTAACTAGTTATTCCAGTTGGTATTGATCGGTGACGAAATCTATTTTGAGACAATCAAATCCGCTCAAAGCGAATCGCTTAATATTGCTCTGTATATCTACTTTTAGATTGCTCGTGCTCATGCTGACCCTCTGTTAAAAAGACGAGCTGAAAACGAATCAGATTTGGAATCTGCAGTTAAGAAGCAACGTTTGGATGGGTTGACAGAACCAGTTGACATTGAGAAGGCTCATGAAAAGTATGCCTTATGTTATCTTGTGAATAGATGGATTGAATTTAATTGTGCTTTTTAGTATTTTTATACTAGACTATACACTAATAATTCTGTTGCCCAGTTATTTATAATGAGTTCTACTCTCCATTTTGGGAAAGATTCAGATTTTGAATCATGTTACATTTCAAATTTTCAGCTTTTTATGTGCACCCGATAGACCTAATAGGAATTATTCAAGTGAAATGAAGTGTCATCCTGTTTTGCTCACTTTATCCTTCACGTTATTAAATCTTTAACTCACCGGTTAGTTACTGTTTAGTTTCTTGTTAAGACTAGACGATGATTAATGGAAGAGATATGGTAAATGCATTTTCCACTTTTGAATTTGTAAAGCTAAATATTGACACTTGACTTTCAATTGTTCAAAACTTACTGCATTAACTGGCCGGTCATTATTTTTAGTCCCTACATAAGAGGTTTGGGTCATTGTATTCCTACACAGAAATATATTTGGTTAAAAAGCTTTTACAAACAATTAACCTTTGGAGTAATAAAAATGATACTTAATCGTGGATGAAAACTTCCCAATGTAGTCAATATTGAAGATATCACCATGTGTTGTGATGAAATGTTCGTTATCCAAGCCAGAATAACACGAAATTATCTCCATACAGTTACACTGTTTTCTTATGTGAGTTAACTTATTTTCTGTCATGCGGTGAATCTCGACGTCTATACACACAGTACTCGAGTTTGTCAACAAATAAGTCACTAAGTGACTTAGATACTTAAGAATCATAATTTGTCTAAAAATACATGAAGGCGTTTTACAGAAATTTCATTCCATCTAAGAAAATTCGTTTTGAACTAGTATTGGAAATGATTGAATAAGGGTAGTCTTTGTATTTTCACTACATATTTCAATTAGTAAAGAGTGTGATAGGTGTTCTAAAATACTACAAAATCAACTAAAATTTTTTGTTAACAGCTTTTCTTTACAATTTAAGTTATGGCGTTTTTAATAGTAGGTGCGTTGTCAAATTAGGCAGTCTGCTTCTTCCCGCCGTCCACTAAACAAAATAGCTAAGTGGAAAATGAATTTATTTTCAAAATGATTGTGAAGTTATTTAAAAAGACTGGATTGCTCATTGAATTCTGTAAAGTTGGGTTTATAACTCATCAGCGTCACTATTTTCCTTCTCTTCGTATGTACTGTAATCTGTTCGAATTGGAAATATTCGAAAACTTCATTTCCAATGTTCATCTTGGAAGGATAAAAACTATTATTCAATGGATGGTACTATTTTAGAGTATCTGTTTCAATGGGTGGGACATGTTTAAAGCATACCATCTGAATGGCTTTCATACCACAGCATTTGTTGTTTGCTCGTTCTTCGGCCGGCTATAAAAACAAAGATAGTGTGTTTCTGAAGTGACTCAACCAGGCAATTGATGGCTACATTTGGTTGCTATCAAGAACTTCATGGTAGTCTTTCAAGAGATTATACCTCTGAGTAACTTCAGACGGTATATTACATAACTCAGCATGAAAACTAGTTGTATTCTAGTTTTGATTCTTTTGTGACTTAATGGTTCGAAAAATAGTACTAGAATATTGGGCGTTTTGTGAATTGAACATTGAGAGTTTCTTGGTGCTCGTGCCAGGTTTGATTTATTATAAAATAAGTGTGAAATATGGAGAAATCTGGCATTATTGGAAGGCATATTACATTTTGTTGAATTTATTGTCATCTCTGTGATTTTCGATGCATGGGTCATACATTTCTGAGATCTACTTTCGAACTTTTTCAGCTCAAGCTTTCTTAACTAGTAACATTCAGGGGTGTAAAATACTAGAAAGTTATCGCGTCTTTCTTTATTATTTCTCCATTTTAGATATCTGCACTGTGTACTTGTCAATGTACTATTATTATTATTGTTCCCTTGGGTTCCTAGTGGAACATAGGGCTTCAACTACACGTCTCCACTTGCTTCTGTCTTCTGCTGTACTTTTCATCTGCATCCATGTTTTTCCATACTGTTTCAACTCCTCTTCACACGATCTCCTCCATGTCACCCTTGGACGTCCCACCCGCCGCTTCCCTTCCGGATTCCACTCGAGGGCCTGACGCGCGATGTCACCCAGTGCGTAATGTAATGTGATTTAATTCTTGAAAAGGCAACAGATTAATGTATTAGCCAATGAGTCGTATTTGTTTGTATGAGTGTTGATAGTACTTCTAGGTTTTCCGAATCTCGGTTAGTGAATAGGGATTCAAGTACGTGACAAATGTGTTGGAGTTGAATATTCGGTTCAATGAGGGATAACTTCTACTAGAAATTAAACTGTTTATTTTTTGTTTTTTTATTGTTTTATTTCCTGTTTCATTTGATGTTCTATCCATTGCTTCAAATTTCAGTCTTCGTGATTCCATTGCCCCATTGTGGCGTTTAAATTATGATCCTGATCAGTTGTTAGAGAAGAGAAATATCATCCTGAAACATTTAGCAGAGGCAAGGAAACGACTACTTGTAACTAATCGTGATATCATTAATGCAGACACTGTAAAACATTCGTAAGTTCAGCAGTTTTCTAAGATGTCTAACGTGACAATTTCAGAATTTGATTTCATCATATTTTCTGTGTTTATTGGGTGCTCTTGCAGAGTATAGTTTCATGGAAATCTAGTAAACAGCTTAATATGGAATGGCATTCTTCTATCGTAACCAATTTCTACTCACATAATAGTATACACTTGCATTCTTGTTTGTCCGTTCTATTACTGTTTCCATAGTTGTTAGGCGTGTTGAATTAGTTTACCTGAGTTAATCATTCTACGGGTTTTCTTTGCCAGCCAACTATACATAGTTATTTCTTAAGATAGATTGAACACTGAATCTTTTTTTATCGAAAGCATGTAACTTGAACGATTCATCATTTCTGAATGCTAAATATCTACGCTTTTGATTCCCGGTTAAGGTAAATCGATAAAAAGCTATTGAACTACATAACAAGTATTGAGAGTTTTGAGATTACTTTGATATGATTATAAGAAATAAATTTCGCGCAAGACGTCGTCATCCAGCAAACAATAACGTGTCATATTGTGCTACATCAAGTAAACACACTGAATTGTAGTCACTGTATTAATAAGTCATTTGTAATACTATGTTGGCATGTTAGATACATTTTTCTGTGTTTCAAAAGTATATCACCTTTTAAACAGTAGATTCTCAGTCAGTGAATCTTGAGTTCAAACCCTACTTCATTTTATTTTGGTCTGTCAAGCAGAGTACTATCGTGGGTCAAGACACATTAACTATGAGCCTAAAGCTTAGTACATACATAAATATTGGGTTTCTAAACCGCATTTATTATTAGGTTAGTAAACTTGAGAAGGCAAAGTTCTACAATAGAGTCCCGAGGGATGCGAACGCACGAGTGACCTTGAGCCGACCAATCAGGAAAAATGACGATTTTTGCATAAAATTTTAGGCTGAAATTATCCCGCATGCTCAAGGTCATTGATGAAGTGAGACGCTCAAAGGTCATTTTCGTCCATGTTAGTCGGTTATGTTGGATTGCAGTTCCGTAGCCGTTCGTTTACACATTAGTTTATACGTTCTGTTGGCATTTATAGGTGATTACCATGTACTGATAGCATTCTTTTGTAAAATAGTACTGTTCTTCACACGAAAATAGCCACATTTTGACGCAGTCTTCATTGAATGACACTATGTCGAAAGCTGCAGCTTCTACAAGAAATAAACTATTTGTGTAGATGACATTACCCCCCAACTACCCCATCTTCTTCATTCTAGAGATGTTTTGACGCATTCAGCATGAAACACTAATCATTACAACCAATATGCTAAGTGTGTCGCAGTCAGATTAAATGACGCGGACACCAACATAACTAGCCAGGAAATGAGAATTCCTATCAGTCCAGAAAACATATAACAAAATTTTATTAGAAATTATTGACAAAAAAAATTTGCCGATCGAAGTTTCAACCAACATGCCGGATAAGTCCAGCCAAATTTTACATATATTTACATAAAAAAGCATAAAAAGACATTAAACAGGATATTTTTCTCTAATATGGGATAAAAAATCTCCCAATTTTGTATAGGGGTTTCAGTTTTTAAATTGAACCAATTTCTATACGTACATTCATTCAAATGACTGAAAATAACTTCGTTTTGTGATCCGTTGATAGCTCAGATTCTATTTTTCAGTCTTCCCCAGAAACCTTCGATGGAATTATTATGAGTACCGGTGACAGGGTCGACGGAATCATTCGAATGCTTCACTCTATGATGTATATATCCCAATTGTGATAATTGGCTATATCCCGCCCATTCATCTATGTGAATGGTGGTGCCTGGTAAGACGAGTCTCTGGATAATTGGCAGAAGAGTGTCAGCACTCCTATCTGGAATAAGTTCAATAAATCCTTTTCGAATCTGGGTGTCGTAAATCCCCAATACCCAAACGTTATATGCTCTAGCACGTCTCCGATTATATTTCTTCTTAATAAGGACCGTTTCGTCGATATGAACCATAACGCCGACTCCTCCTAAAACTTGTGTAATACTATTCATTTTCCATGACGCCAAATCTCGACAAAATTGGAACCATTGCACAGCAGACGTCAATGTATTATCTGTTTGAGCGGTAGTTGATCTCAACCCGGACTTTAAAACCCAGTAATTGGACAGAAACGAGATATTCGTCAAAGACAATTCCGACTTTTCATAGAAAGTTCCTAGAAGACAATTAATTCAGAGTGTCACTTACCAGTACGCACACTTATTCGCTTCCTCCATTGTGTACATTTGAATACATATCCATCAGTGACCTGGGTATACGACTGGAGGTTCATGGAAGCACCACAACCGCATATCTGAGTACGTCCTATCAATACATTATCTAGGCAGTACTGGAAAACGTGATCTGGATGGAATTTACATCTGAGCTCATGAACAGGGTTCATTTTAGCGCTAGAATAATGGTAAGCTTCGTCAACCAATGACTAGCATGCGTTCAGGGTCATCGGAACATTCACGAGGTCATTGAAACATTTACAACCCTGGGACTCTATTCTTGTACTTCGCCGTTGAGAAAAATAGAATGTAGTGCAGCGGTTATAGTTATTTCCAAAAGCATAAAATGTTACGCTGAACATCTTCGCCTATTATCGTTCTTTGTTTTCTAGGGGGAGGAATGCAATTTTCGGGGGGGGGGGGGGAATTGTTGCATTCTCTAAGTTGGATGATGTGATTGTGAAGTTTTCTTAATTCTTGACTTCATTAGTCGTAATTTGTTTTACATTACCGAAGTGTAACCTAAGATGTTAACTTTTTGTATTTTATAATGGATTTCATTAGAGAGGAATTTGACTCAACACGTAAACCAACTATATGTAAACTTGGACCAGTAATTCCGTCTGTAAGTTCCTACTATTTACTATTTATATCTTTTCGTTAGAATTAATCTTTTGTATCTATTACATACGTCGGGTTATTTTACATATCAGTTAGTGTAGGTTAAGCGGTGATTCATTATGCACAGTTTTAAGATGATTTGTACGTTAAAAAGATGTAAATTATAGTCATAATGATTGTGATTGCTTCATTATGTGTTAGGTTATTTGTCAAATGGTCTTTATGACACACATACATGTGTCAAGCTTTTGTATATTTCATTGCGCTTTAGTGATCATCATAATCGAATTCATTTGTTGTTTTTTTTTCAATGAAATAACTGCATCCGCGCTACAAATGATTTGAGTTGGTTTTGCTGACTGATCAATCAATCGTATCTTTACGTGTGTTAAGTGTCTAAACATCTAGTGATGACAATGCTAATATAGAAATTAACCAACGACAAAGTGTTTCACAATATGAGGCTATTTAGCGTAAAGATCAATATTGAACTCTTTAATGTGTGAATTTTGGTCAGTTTTAAGAATTTGACCGGTCTAGATCTTTTTGGGTGTATGATCCATCCTGTCAAACATTTGAACACTGTTTAGTTAGTTTACTTATAACAGCACTAAATATGACATTTTTATAGACACAGGATTTTAATTTTCCATGGAAATATGCGTTTCTCTAATATTACAAGTTATCGTGTATAATTAGCATTAACAGACAAGGTGTACTATTGATTTTCTTCATGTAACTTATTGCTGCATTGTATGTTTTTCTTTCTTCTTACAACTACCAGCCTGTCCAAACTGGATATCGAAACAAATCTGAACTTACTATTGGCCACGATGTGGATGGCACAGGCAAGTTGAGTCTGCGTTACAATTTTCCTGCTTTCATGTAAATGTATATACTCAATTAGTGTTATCAGAATTATATTATGAATTCATATGTTATGAATTTGTATCACCTCCTAGGTGAAGACTCTGACACAATGCAGAGTCTTTCAAATACCTTGGGCAGGAGTCTAAGTATGTTTGGTATGTAATTTACCCTTGTCAAATGTAAGATGCTGCTACAGGGCTGATCTCTGCTGACTTCTAGTTTGAAGATACGGAGTGAAATGGCTGAGTGTGTGTTGACCATTTTACTTATTTGAGTGGTTGCATCAGTTTCAATGGAGTGGTTGTTGACGGAACTTCAGTACAGATACAAAAGGCTTGTGTGGTACTTGCCAACTTACATCATCTCTGGCGTAGAAGTGATATCCGGCCACTCATTAAAGGACATGTTTACTGCTCAGCAGCTCTCTTCATCCTTCTTTCTGTCTGTGAGATGTGGCCATTGAATGTGGAAGACCTGAATGGGCTAGTTGTTTTTGACCAAATGTGTGCTTTTTATCTTCCGTGTCAATTGGTAAAATATGATGAGTAATATTGGAATTAGGTGTAGATTGTTAAGTAAGAAGGGGAAGTTAGTAGATTCGGTTATGATGATGCTACAACGATTGAAATGGCTGAGATACGTGTTACACATGACAAGGTATGGCCTTTCTCGTCGACCAGTGTTAGTTGACATCGGATTAAGCTGGAAAGGAGTTAGGGTAGGTCAAATTAGACGTGATATCAATCTATGAAGTCTTTGACTGTTGCTTTGATCCACACAGAGGAGTGTCTAGTATACACTGGAGACAATTCGTGATATGGCTCAATATAACTCTCAATGGCTGGCTCAGATACATCCACTCTTTGTGACTTATAATATCCAGTAAAATTATATTGTTCTTCCATAATACTATTCCCTTTGCCTCATATTTTTGTTTTTTTGAATCTCTCTAATCTCTCCTCTTACTTTTTGGGCTACATGGAGGGAGTGTGGCAACTCGAACTGTTGCACATCTGTGCAAATTTCTACGTTGAAACCAGTCCAGTTCAGACATTCACTGCCTGGTTGGAGTCCTCGTGACGATAAAAATTAGTGGCTGGACACTTTTGGTGATATAGTTCAAAATCGTTCCCAATGGGGCGGATGCATCTACTCGTTGTAATGTCCCAGATACGTTGAATCCTCATTGTTTTCCATATTACTCTCCTTCTCTGTACATTTCTGTTCATTATAGTTCCTTTGCATTTTTTCTCCACCTTTCTCTGCTACATGGAGTGTGACAATTTTAACTGTTGCGCCAAGTTCTATGATGAAAAATCAACAACTCAGCTAAGCACGTTGGTGGTCAGGTTTACACTGTTTTGGTGCGCATATGATTGTTCTACTCAGGTTAAACCTGGCCTCTTTGAGGTGACAATGTGCATGGGCTCTGGTTATCCTATCACCTCTATCTCCATATAATTCCTCACACCCAGTGACGTTATCGTGTAAATAATTCTGAAACCGGATGGCGTGTTTTTGGACACTGTAGAGACTGTCTTTCACTAAGTGATATCATTGTAGGGCAGCAGCTTCATAGTTTTGGTCTACAAATATCATTCTAGAGGATTTTACAACATTCATTGTTTGCTAAATTCAGGATCTGTCACAAGAGCGAAATATGTGGTTCTGCCACAAAGGCTTTTTGGGATGTAGGGTATTTGTGTGTTGAGTTAGTATTCATTGGTGCATCTCAATTTCCAGGATCGGTTCTAAGGTTATCTAATCAATAGTTGTTTTTATTCAGTTGTTCTTCAAACATTTTACTTTTGTTCTCTTGGTCTGTCGTTAATTATTTTGTTTGATGCTTCTCTTTGTAATTATAGTGTACCATGTTTGTTTGAAATAAAAAAGGACTCAAAAGTGAATCTCTGACTTTTTGAGTGATAATGCTTTTATCCTCGTTACCGCAGAATCTGTGGCTTTTATATAAACTCTAATTAGCCAAATGTGCATCCTTAATGTCAAATAATATTTATTTTTGTTGTTGTTGTTGTTCTGCTAATCTTTAAAGGTCCTGTTATTGGTTTCCGTTATTCTAAGTACAAAGGTGGTTCAGTTGCAGTTGGATCGTATACAAGTTGGAATTTTTTGCCTAAAAAATCTTCCAAAGTTATAGATGCATTACAGAGATTTTTAAATGCTTGTTCTGAGGGAGAATTGGAAAGTTTATCGAAACTTACCGCTTTTGATCCTATTACACACAAGGGGAATTGGCGTCAAGTACTTATTCGTGAATCAAGATGTGGCGATATATTACTTGTTTTATATGTTAATGCACATGAACTTACCGAGGTAATGGTAATTTTCTTTTCGTTTAAATGCTTTTTGTAATCTAGGCTAACAATTTGTAATTCTTTTTTCTAAGCACTTTCGTCACCAAAATTTTGTAGGAATTTTTGATTGGACACTAGTCAGTAACTAGTGTAATGTCTCTAGTCCTATCTTTGGTGCAGACTGATTTCAGTCAAGTTTGCAATGTGGCCGCCATCACCGTGCACTGTGGATTGTTGGTATTAGATGGTTGGTGGCAATTGGCAGGAAGCCTTGGATCTAGGTTTCGTGCTAGTTGGCACTCGTCAGCAAGGCCTATCTGCAACCTTGAAGGAACTCATGTCCCGTCTGAGATTCGAACCGGCGTCACCCAGTGCTGTAGTCAGAGACGTTACAACTGAGCTATTCAGACTGACCTCCTGTAGGATTTAGTGAATAGCTCAAACATGTAACTTCTGTTGCTCACCACTACTAATTTGTGAAACGTTCGTTAAATTAGAAATTACAAGAGTTAATATTATTTAAATCTGTTCTTAACCTCAGATTTGAAACCTTAATTTGTTAAGTGATATGACGGAAGAACGACTGAGTTTCAGTCTGTTAGGTGCTATTTTTGAAAAGAAAAAAAACTAATTTTATAATTTCTGAAGATTTCGATACAGTCACAAAGAAAACCAGAGTAGTTTCGAAAAATTGTTTTTTGTAAGAACGCTTGTATAGTACCATTCATTCTTGGGTAGATAGTCGTGTTTTATTTGTTATTGTGTCAAATTGTCCCAATCTCCTGCATTCGTATTCAAATACGATCTCATCAGACCAGTTTTTAGATATTTATAGCATCTAAAAATCCATCATATGTATCTAATGAGGATCAAATTGTCCGTAAAATGTAAAATCAATATTCCTGATTAAATTTGACTCTGTACTCTTTATTTTTGTTAACTGGTTAAGATTGAAAAAACTTTATGGGTTTCATAGTCGACATCTATGATTTCATCAATTGTCATCGTTATTTACGATGATGCCGTGTTACTATATAATTTTGCAAGTGGAAATAGTCTGTTTATTTTCTGGTTAATTTTGTTAAGGGATATGATCAGTCTCTATCTTAAGTTGTTGCAGGTGCTTACAGGAATGTACTTGAGACACGCGTTTGTCTGTTGTGTATTATACAGCCAAGGTGGTCAAGCTGTCTATTTTAAACAAGAGATATATACTTTCACTAGGGTTGGATTGGATTCAGAAAGTCTTAAGTTTATACATACTATTTAACACTTATTATTAGCAGGGGAACAGTTTATTTTATATTTCATGTATTGTTAACACTTGCGTGATTCTGAAGTTGGAATTCATTATAGTATATTCTTTCTTTTATTTTAGGATGATATACATAATCTATCAAATGAATTGAAAAAGTGGTTTCAAATGGGCCCAGGTTCAGATTCTGGTGTAACTAGTCTCCATTTATCTGTTCGTTCGCAGTAAGTTAATACATCACATATTTAAATGCTTCTTAACTATGGTGTTAGATTAGTCGGTGACCTGAATATCTTAGTGACTGATACCGTTGTGGGAAAATAAAAACTGAAGGTAAGACAGTCCTGTTGTGATGATCATGATAACTTCATTCATCATTCAGATGTTACTATAACTTGATGAGTAATAAACCTTCTCCATTACCGCGAAGCTTTGTTGTACCTAGGAGTTTGGTTTGTCAGTTGTCATCAGCAGGGCATCTAAAACCATAAGTGAAATTATGTTCAATGAGTGACTGCAATTTGCATCACTATGCGCACAGGTTAAAAACCTTATCAGGCTATAATTAAACCCCTGTAGAATATTGTTTTCTTAGACTTGTTGTTGGTTGACTGACTGATCGGTTCCAACGTAGAAATTTGCACAGATGTGCAACAGTTCGAGCTGCCACACTCCCTCCATGTAGCACAAAAAGCAAGAGGAGAGATTAAAGAGAGATTCAAAAGAGAGACAATAAACAGAAATATGAGGCAAAGGGAATAGTAATATGGAAGAACAATATAATTTTATTGGATATTATAAATCACAAGGAGTGGATGTATCTGCGCCAGCGATTGAGAACGATTCTCAGCCATATCACCAATTGTCTCCCACCTTCATTAGTTTTTACCATCCCGAAGACCCCAACCAGGAAGTCTACAACTTCCTACGTGGCTTAAACCAACTGTTATGGATTTTATTGACTGATAAAGCCATGTTTTAGTTTGACCACCACTAGCCAACTCTTTTCCAACCTGACCCTATGTCAGCTAACATCTGTCGAGGAAGGCGATGGCTAGACATGAGTAACACATGTTCAAACTACCTCAGTCGGTATAATTTCACAACCTCATCGACTGATTCCCCAGACTTGTTGTTATTCAATATCTTTTGATGTAGTTGTTAAGTTATTTGTCTTAATCTAAATGTATCAATTGAGTGAACACTGCCGGTCGAAGATCTTTATTCTTTGCGTTTAATCTATGAAATGTATTCTTCTTTTCCAAACAAGCTAAGTTTTAAGATATTTTGTCATAAAGATTGGCTTTTGTTGCTGATTTAATCGCTACTCAAATTGTGTGTAAAGTGTCCCATTTTCTTCTCTTTTATTGATCTTCTTTTAAGATCTTCGAAAAAAATAAATCAAATAATATTTTTTGATTTCTCAATTCATTTCATACAATTCAGTCAACTGAGTTATAAGTTATTAACTTTTATTTTAAGGTTGCTGCCTTATGACCTTTTTTTGCCAGCATGGTAATTTAGTGTAGATAAAATATTGAGATTAATTGTTACTTTTCGCTTGGGATATATAGGCAATTTATGTGAAGAACAGTTAAAATCAAAAACTCGCTCTTCAGCCGTATTCAGATGGAATGAAAAGTCTTAGCGGTGTTTATCTTCAAGCTTTATGTCAAGCATGTTTTTGTGAAATTGAGTAATTATCATTCCTTTATTTTTAGAAAAAAGCCTCTTGTTTTATGTGTGACTTGTACAACCTCATTGACGAAACTGACTTTTTGATGATGGAAATCGTATGCGGAAGTAGTCCTTCTGTGATATTCTTAGGGGAAAAGGATTTACGGAGTAATCAGTGTGAACAGCAACTGCTTCTATTTAGGTAGCTCACCAATTCGATGTTTTTCTGCATAACGGGTTTTGGCAGGATAAAAAGTCCAAAAATGTATTGCTCAGTATGTATTAGTATATTGTTAACTATGTTTTGAAATGTAAAAAATTGTTTCGGTGATAAACTTTAAAAGCTACACGAATGTAGGGATAACAGTGATGTGTCAGAGGATAAAATCATCATTTACTTTATATGATCACGATATACACATTCCCAAGTATTAGTACTCGTAATGTAGAACAGAATTGTACTTTTGTTCCATTATGGATAAAATTTATTTTGATAAAGTCACACAGTGTTATACAGTAATATATTTATTGATGACGTTTCGAGCACAGTTTATTGCTCATAATTATATCAAGGTACTCACACAACTTTCTTGCTTCGTTAATATACATGCGTAAAAAATTGATCAGATATATGAATAAAAATCAATAAAAGTCCACACCCAACACATGCAACAGAAGTGACTCAACGCAAATACCAGTCAAATCAGAGGATAATAAATACTGTCAAAGTTTATTTCAATTCACATCATAACACTCTAAAAAGTTATTTATTTTTACTAAAACAGCATCTTATTGACTAACAGCACTCGTCTTAATTCCCATCGTGTTCTATTTTATTAACAACACTAATATTGTTTCCGAATGTACTTTACCTTCCTTTCTTGTTTCATGCATGTCTATTCAACTTTTATTGATTTTTATTCATATGTCTAATCAGTTTTTTACACATGTATATAACGAAGCAAAAGTTGTGTGAGTACCTTGATGTGATTATGAGCAATAATTTGTGCTCGAAACGTCATCAGTAAACATATTACTGTACAACAACACTGTGTGATTTTATGAAAATAAATTTTATCCATAGTGGAATTATACTCTACCACAGTGCCCAAGTTTTATCCTTATATCAATTATACTTTTGTTCATTTTTCCTGTCCATCATAATGAATGAAATGGTTTTTAACCTTGAAATATGCTTTGTAATATTTTGTATTTTTGTTCTGTCTTATTCAGATCGGAGGATAAATTGTTTAGCGAACATATTCAAGAGATTTTCGGTGAACCAGTAAGTTTAATTATTATTCAGTGTCTTCTATACGCCTTTATGATAAGTTATTTATTGCCTAATAGTCTAATACATTAGAAACTTTAATAGTTTGCTTTGTTCCAGATTTGTATGGAGGTCAATCGCGAGCCCGAATAGCTCAGTGGTAACGTCTCTGACTGCAGCACTGGGTGACGCGGGTTCGAATCTCAGAAGGGACATGAGTTCCTTCAAGGTTACAGATAGGCCTTGCTGACGAGTGCCAACTAGCACGAAACCTAGATCCAAGGCTTCCTGCCGATTGCCTCCAACTATCTAATATTGTGTTTTTTATATTTTACTGACATAAAAACTGAGGTACGAAAAGAAAGTCCGACATGACATCTGATCTTCTCAGTCTTCATAAAAGCAAGAATTTCCTTCTATGATAGGCACAACAGTAAGCTCGACAAATACATTATCTGAAATTCTAGAGTTTATAATTAAAAATTGCCTGACTAAAGCGCGGAAGTAACAAGTCGGAAAAATGATGCAGATTTCAAAAATCACTGTGGAAGTATCGATTAGATCCTAAAACAGTGATATACCTAACGCAAACTAATATTAGCTGTTTTCTTAGCCCAAATGAGGGCTTTCGACACTCAGTCTATTGGTTTTATGACGATGTTTTTCACCGAAAGGTATATCCTATAGCCATATCTTGCTCTAGGCTCTAGTAGTAAATGCGATCTCTTTGAAACTTATAGTGAGTTAACTCTTACGTTATCTACGCTGAGTATCATTTGTGAAGCATGTTTACTCTTCATTTTTTATTTAGCTTCTAGTTCTACACTTGCCTTCTCAGGAATTGATGTCGCAAAAAATACCTTAGTTACCCTCATTTGTGTAGATGATATAAGCCTGTTGGACGTCGTCACTGATAAAATAAAAGGTTTGTCATAACATGACATTCTGAAAATGCCTAGGATGATTGTCTTATCTCTCAGTGGAAATAATTTTCCCCAGAATTTGGTTACCTTGACTTGCATTCTGAGAAGGAATGAAATGGATGAATGCACCTATCGCTTCACTTCCTTGGGATGCCTCTTAAGCCCTAGTCAGTTGACTCTTGAGAATATTCATTAAAGACATCAAGCGGACAGCGTGCAGTGTTTTTCACAGGTTGGTGCAATGTTCGAGTTTCGCCATCTTCAACCTCTTATAAGTTCAGTCTGTATTGCGCAGCAGATGGTAACTTACTTTTCCTGTCTGGTGCTGTTCGGGCTCCTCGAGTATATCTCACTACCTAACTTAAAATTTGGAATGCTGCAACCTGAATCTTATAACCCCATCGCGTTGTTCTATCTCAGTGACCCTATCTCACAACGGTAATGTAAATTAGTATCAAATGCTGTGATATATTCTCGCTTACGCTTTTACTATAGGGTATTACATGGGTAGTATAAACGGTTTCACTAACAACATATCACAATTATGAGTAGAAAGTAATATCTTGGTTCCTACGGCGAGTCTACTAACAGCGTAAAGTTCACATTTGAAGCTAAATATTTCAGTCAGATTGATGGTTTTGCTATGGCAGGGTCCTTGAACCCATTTTTTTAAAACAGAAACACGTCGCATACTGAGAAATTATCTGAGGATATAATTGATAATCTCCTTCCTTATAAAAGATCTGTTTATGATATTCTCAGTACTGATGATAGTCCTAGTCATCCTACTTCAGTTTTAAGTCGAGTGAATAAAATACTGAATAGTACTTCACTTACGTATATGGAGGACAAAGAGAGGTTACTACTTCTCTTTCTTAGATATTTTGATTGTTTGACTGTTAAATGATTCAATAATACTGTCTGTCTGTAAAAAGACCATATATGCTTGGCAGTATCTAGATTACCATAGTTTCTATCCTTTTCAATACAGCACTGTTATGTGCTTTTTTAACAGGATTCACCGAATATGCACAACCAAAACACTGGAGGGAGAGATGGTCACTAACACAGATATTGATTGAAAACACTTATACAGCAAAATTTCCATCTGATATCAAGTGATCAAAGAATCACGACTTACCGATTACTTGTCCCATTTAATAACATATTTATCAGTTTCCTCTACACAGGTGGCCGAAGCAGGTTGATGCTCAAACAAAGACTAAACGCTGCTATTAAGAAGACATGCACATAGAGTTCGGATCACTAAGAACTCGATACCTATATATTCTTCCAAATTCTCAGGACAGGTTGTCAAAGCCCAATATATTTTTCAGCTTAGACGGCCGTATGGTCACACATGTAGGAAGGACTTATCGATCCTTGTATATAAGGACTACAGAACATATTGCAAAGTGGCTTCAGAAGCATATTAGGCCTCTTGAAATATGCCAGTGGTGGGAATAGGTTTTGAAGCATTACTGAAGGAAGAAATAAAATGAGTGTGTACATGTCTCTTAAATCTACTCACAATATCTTTTTGGGACCTATTCTGAAGCAGAAGAAGTCTTCATTTGGTTTTAAGTCACCTTTATTTGTTCACAAATAGTTTTTCATCCCATTAAGCATTCCTGGGTAAATCTTGTGTTAATACCACGGTTAATGTACTCCTCTTTTGCTTTCTTGGTGCTAACTGTTATTTTTCGGCGTTTAATTTAGCTTTTTTCATTCGATATATTCTCATTTGCTTTTATCTTAACTTTTTATCATTTTTGTATAAAGTCCAGTGATGAAAAGTACTTGTGTAATGAGATGGTTTAAAAAATGTTACCTAAAGGCATTGAACAATACAGATAAATTGTGTTTCATGAAAAATACATACACAGAACTGATTGTTAGTTATTTCTGTGTTCCTCAATGTCTGATTTTTCTTTTCACTATTTATTTCTTCATTCAACCTGTTTTTATTTTCCAGTATATCATGGAACAATGTTGTGGATTGAATTTCCGTATATCTTCATCAGCCTTCTTTCAAGGTATGTTATTTGTAAATGAAACAAATAGTTAATGATGTGTTTAATGTGAAATAGTTATGCTACATGCTAAGGAGTCTATTGTACTGAATGTAAATACTTTGTATAACTACTAGCTAGTAGTGTTTGATTTCTTCTTTTCATTAATGAAATGCAACAGAATTTTACTTGTTTGTCTTCGTTCCTGTCAACTTTATTCATGAAGACTAAAAGTAAATAGGCTCTTAAATGTCTTTACATATCTAATAACTTGTAGCCGACTACTTGATAACTCATTGTAAATAAGGAGGTTCATAAGTATTCAATATTAGATGCCTTTTCACAATAGTTGATGCGTTTGAACTTTTACGTACCTGCTCTTTTGACAATGTATATTGAGTAGTGTAGTCTAATTGCATGTAAGCACATGAAGCATTACATACTGAATATTAAGGGAAATGTAACTGGTTTTATGTGCTTCACCTCTGATATTGATAATTTTTCACTTCAGTTAATTGAGGTTTTTGTTTTGAAAGTTCGTAATGGCTTTAACTTTGTAGTTAACTTGTCTTTTGAACAATCACGATCACAATATGCGCTAAGAGCTATAAAATGCAATAATTCTGAATGTTTCAGTATGTGTCACGTATATCCATTGTGTAACTTTTCCAATGGTCTATGTTCATTACTGTTAGTATGTAGTTAAAGAATATTTGTTTAGGCCCGATGAGCACAGTTCACGTGGTGGTTAGTGTAGTTTCTTACGTTTTACATTTGATTAATGGGAGCATAAGGTTAACCTATTTCAGTAAATTAAACATCACAATTGTGCTAGTTGGATGTATAAATATATTGCTGAATAATAATGTAATAAAATGCATTCAACGTTAGAACTCAGTCAACCAAAACCCTTGAATATACGTTTCGTATCTATTACCATTCATCAGCCAGAGGTATATACAAATTTTCGGAAATTTTTGATTCTTGTGAGTTCCAACCTTGTCATCCAATTCGAAAGTGAGAGACTTTGTCACATAGCGTGTCACTATTTTATTGATAAGGTATTTGATACAGTTACAAATCTTGCAAGTATCAAGAGTTTCCTGAAATTTTCAGATACACGCCTTACTGGTGTGCATCAGCATGCACGAAACCGGTTATCTTCTGCAGTTCAATACTGATATATTTGTTAATCTTGGTACTAAGCAGCATCATATCGCTGAGTTAAGGTATAATATTGCATATATAAGACGATAGATGTCGATTAGAGAATTGCGCTTTTGATTATCCAATGACAGATTTGCATGATAAAACGCTTTTAATAAATCTTAAAGTGTTTTACAAACTGTATATTTCTTTATTAATGCCCCTTTATTTCAGTGAATACTCTTGCGGCTGAATTATTATTTGACAGAATAGCACATCTGTGTATGCAGCCGTTCACTAATGGGGGGAATACTTCAATCGAAGTAGAAGCTGAAAAAAAGGAGTCAGAAATCCAACCTTTAATTCCTGAGAAAAAAGAACGCATACTAGTTGATGTATGTTGTGGTACCGGAACGATTGCTTTGTGTTTGGCAAAGGTAATTGAATACATTTGTATTCTTTCGACATAAACCTTCAATACTGTTAATTTCTACCATTCGTTTGAGATACTAAAAATAAGTAATTTTACAAGAATGCTAATTTATTTAGAATTGTTGACAACAATTTTCGGTTGGGTTGATTAACTCTTCACACAGACTACCTGTGCCTTTACGTTACTTAAAGTATCCATCGTAAACTGTCTGCATTAGCTGCGTGTTTTCGTTTGAGTTCTCTTAACTCTCTTATGAGTAACAACAAGCATGACATTTAGGTTGATGAATTTCTTCTGAATGCATCACAATTCGCAGCAATGTTGTGTCACCTTCTGGATACATTTGGTTCATTTATATGGGGATCTAGTTGTTAATGAATAGTCTGGTGGTGAAGTGTATAACGTTTTCATTGGGTAACTGAAGTTTGAATCATAAAGGGAACGTGAGATTTTAGAACTTCAGAACACACCATGTTGGTGAGTGCCAATGATATCAAAGGCAGTGCATCCTCGTGACTGTCTTCTAACATTTTGTAGTCCTACGTTTTTCAGTCAAGTCTTTCAGCAATGCTATTAGTACAACATGTGTAACTTATATGAAAGTCAGTAAATAGTCACCATATCCTAGATTGACTGACCCTCCTTCTTCGACACAACGTCTGATTTCAGCACTGTTTACTGTGTGGTTCCATGTGCTTCACAAAATAATAAGTGTTCGTTTTACGTACATAAGCCTGAGGATATATTTTCAAAACGTGTTAGGGCAGAAGTGGTTCTTAATTCTAGCCAGAATGATGAATACCTTTTTCATTCCTACTGTTATCTCTTTTTATCAAATTACATATTTTTCATTCAAATTGTTGATATGAAATCACCTTTTTCCCATTTATTGTGCTTAGTAGTAACACTATACACGGGAAATTCTATGTTCTGCATATAATACATACGTTCATTGTCTAATTAAACAGTATATGTATTTTTTAAATTTATTATTGAAGCACTTTGATCGTGTGATCGGCGTCGAAATGAACTCTGAAGCCATTGAAGATGCCAAACTGAATGCAGAATCGAATGGTAATAATAATAATAAAATATGAAAGTTTGCTTTTTCATTTTATTAAATAAGAATTTTTCTTAATCTGTAGCCTATTGATTCGTTTTGAGGTCACTAATGAAAAACGAAAGCATCATTTTACACTTGAATTTTTGTGGAATTTCCATATATGGCTGCACCTTCTATCTGTGAGCATTGAAGCTTATGATTAATTTGATTTAAAAAAGATACGTGCAACGATTATAAACGTGGGTATCTATCATCTGTAGCTGGGGTTTTCTTCGAAATATTTGAAGTTATTTGTTTGTTGAATTGTTTCATCGTTATGGCTTTTGAATTTTAAAGAAATTGCTATCTGCCATACTAATACTATTGTGGTGGTGTGAGACAGGCAATGTGTGCCAACGGAATATTATTCTCACTTATCCCCACAGTTCAATTTGGCATGATCAACATAAGACAATATATCTATTTGAACATTGTATTTCATGTCGTTTTATGTAAACCGAAATCACAAACTCGGTGATTGGTTAACGAATATAAACTGTAGATATACATAAACAGTGGTTTGATTAATGAAAAAATATACCTTGGCTCCCGTGTCTTGCCTTCTCTTGTTACACTATTATCATTACTTATTTTATTCCTTTACATTCCCGGTGGAAGCTTGAGCTGTGAATTTTCAGTAGCAGTAGTGTTTATTTTTCACAGGGTGTGGTAACCAGCCTCACATCCAACCTGCACTCCTTACCGGGTTCACTACCGGCTAACCGAGGTCACGGAGTGTGTCGGCTGGGGATCGAACCCTGAACCGTGTGCTTAGTTGGCGAGTATTTTGCCACTGAACCACCGATGCTACTGCTATTATACGAAATGGTCACCTCGTAAACTATTATTGCACCATGTTTCTTTTATTTATGCCGTTTATATTCACTAAACTTTTCTGCTAACCGACTCATAATTTGTTGCACAACTTGTGTTTTCATTACTTCCAATACCATGGGGAAGTTTGAGGATGTATGAAAAAAAGAAAGTGTCCGGTAGTGAAAAAAAATTGTTGTGTCATGAACCTATCACTGTGCTGTACGCATATATCCGTTATCATGCTTTTAGTAAAATTGAAAATCAACAGCTACTATATTGTAATACAACTGTATCGTGAATCACTTCTGAGTATATTCAAGAAGATGCGTATAATGTAAATATAGATTAACCTTTTAAGAAAGCTGCACTTGTAAGGTATTTTCATAGGTAATGTTAAGGGATTTTATGTGAAAAATGTTGGTTAGGTAGCAGATCTTCACAATCACTTCATAACAGTTAACTTTTTATTCTGAATGATTATTGGATAAGTAGTATTAACTTTCTATTTAATAATCGCTCGATACTGAAGATCAAATGGCCGGCCAGAAAAATCAGCGACAAGAAACTCTGGTAACAAACCAACCAAGAGCCGATTGCTCAACAAATATGCAGGACATAGTGGAGATGGATTGACCATACGCTGAGGAGACTGTCGAATGACATCGCGCGGGAAGGCCCCCAATTCGAATCCGATTGGGAAACGACGAATTGGGCTGTGGTCTGAGGGTGACATGGAGGAGATGAGAGATTATGGACAATGATGGACTCAGCTGAAGAGGATATCAGAAAATATAACAAACTGGAGATGTGCTGTTAAAGTTTACCCAAGGGAACAATAATAATAAGTATTAACTTCCACAAACTTCTTATTGTTCGATGGATCGGATGAAGTTGAGTGAATTATTTTATTGGCCTCGTAGTTCTTCGTTATGGTAGTTCTGTGATGTGTTTCTTCTACAGATATTGTGAATATTCCATACAGGGCATGGAATATTTATGTTACTGATACTCAGTCGTTTTTTTTCCTTGTTATTGCCTTATGCATAGGTCTGTTTGACTTTCAGTTGATAACCTAGTACTTTAATTGATATCACTTAGCTAAATGGCATTAGTTTCAGTGTAAAAGTTGATTCCTTTCCCGTAAACATCTTGTACAGTTTTCTGGTTTGTTCTTCAGTTAGTATACACAGAATTTTTTTGTTCTGACAAGTGTAGTTAGTAGCTATCTAACTTGTTTATTGCACAGAAATCATATTTCGATGAGTAGTCTTTGTCCTGCTATCAACATGCCTTTACTACATTTTAACAGGTGTCAAAAATGCAGAATTCTTGGTCGGTAAAGCTGAAGATGTGCTACAGTGTGCACTTGAGAAACTACCATCCAATTGTGAACTTTCAGTTGTAGTCGATCCGCCTAGAGCTGGTCTGCGTAAGTATATTGATCGGTTATTTTTAAGAAAATGCTATTTCTGTCTTCATTTTACTAACTGTTTGTATATTAGATAAGTTTACTTGATATAACATACAACAATAGGATATTAATAACTGAAATATATTTCGAGCATAATTGCTCCCAATCATATCAATACATTTACACGACTTGATAACTAGTTTCATATGACCTTACTCCCTGTTATTTTTTTATTGCAATTTTTCATATGTATCCGGTGTAGTTCTTGCATCATTCCGATTGCGCGTATTTGGTGTTGTTTCAAAGAATAAAGTTTCAGGGATTAACCTCTCCCTCTCTCCACCTAACCATATTACTTTTGTCTTATATCCCATCTTATTGTATGAATACATGCAAGTGAATGCATTGCATTTTTCCAGATTACGTTATTTATCAGAGTCAATCGTTTTATCTCTAGCTTAATGCCTATGTTCCGACAATCCATTGGACACCGACCAACTAGTTTGATCAATGCAATTGATCTCACAGTCATTACATGGTATCTGATAAATTAAATTACTTTTCCTTGCTGGATCCATTGAGTCTTTAAGCCGATAGGGTCTGTTTCTCAGCGAGTAGTTAGCTGGTCCAAATATCACCCTTATTAGTAATACTAATTCGGGCTTCTGATGTCCCTTCTTTATTCGGAAGTAGCATCAAGGCTTTGTATATATATATATATATATATAATTTGTAGTTTTAATTATTTAAATTTTATGATATACCAGTCAGGTTTCTGCCTCGATTACATAAACGTCTAACTAAACCTACGTTTACAGAAAACCCATCACCCTGTCTATTGAGATAACTTTGCACTTCAAATGAATCCAAAGCATTTTTTCGATGTAGCTGTTGTTGAATTAATAACTATTCACATGTAGTAGTTTGTTCTTTAGATGTGGTGCACCGACTTGCGCCTTTATTCCATGTACAAATGTCTTTATATTCTTATGTCCAATGATTCGCTGTGTAATTAGGCATAAAAAATATGTTTATAATGCAGTGAAACCATCTACTAACTACATCACTTTTTCACATTATGTGTATATTGAACAGTGTAGCATTTCCTGTTTTAAAAACGTATCTGCTTCATCTACCTTAATATTTATGTTAATCTTGTGTTCAATATTAGTTTAACACTTCCATAATGGAAAATGATGAGTAGCAAACCGAATTAATGTTTACTAGACCAAATGAATATGAAGTTAAGGGGATTCACAACTATTTAAGAATGCAGTTGTATGTCATTCAACTGACTCATAAAATTTAACATAGTAAAGCGATTGAAATTTCCCCCTTGGATCAATGATTATTTAACGGTGTGTACTTGGTGCTGTTGTATTTCAATTGTTATCGCTGTCCGTTTTTTTGTAGATCCTTCTGTAATTCAGACGTTAAGAAGATGTGAACAGATTAAAAGAATTGTCTATGTATCTTGTAATATCGAATTTGCTATTGAAAATTTTGTACAGTAAGTTTGACCTTTTTGCATTATAAATTTCCACTTATATGTGGAAGATGAGCTTTCGGATGCTATATTTGATTATTATTATATTATTATTGTTTCCTTTAATTCCTAGAGGAACATAGGGCTTCAGCCGTGCGTCTCCATTGCGTTCGGTTCTCTGCTAGAGTCTTCACCTGGCTCCAAGACTGCCCACACGTTTTCATCTCCTCTTCACATGACCTCCTCCAAGTCACCCTTGCACTGACGACCAATTCGCCGCTTCCCTTTCGGGTTCCACTCGAGCAATGGCTTGTCTAGTGATGTTACTTGATGGTTTCCCCAGAGTATGGCCAATCCATCTCCATTTCTTCCTGCCTATTTGTTTTACAATCGGTTCCTGGTTGGTTCGCTCCAGAGATCTCTGTTGCTGATCTTTTCTGGCCATGTGATCTTGAGTATTGAGCGAAGACAACTGTTGATGGTCTGTAGTTTGTTTGAGATGCTCTTTATGACGCTCAGTGCAAGTCTCTGATCCGTATATTAGCACTGACTGACTTCACATTGGAGTTGAAAATCCGGATCTTATTTTTGATGCTGAGTGCTATTGACCTCCACACAGACTTGAGAGTAGTGAAAGCTTGTCTTGCTTTTCCGATTCTTGCTTTGATATACTCATCAGTTTCGTCCGCGTGTAGTTGAAACGATGCTTCCCAGGTAGGTAAAAGGGGTTGTTTCTTTCAGATTCCTCCCATTTATGCTGATCGTCGTCTGTTGTTGTTGTTCTTGTCCAGGAATCTTCATCACCTCTGTTTTCTCTATGTTCACCTGAAGTCCTATCTTTGATGCTTCTTCTGCTATATTTGATATTGAAAATTTATTAATATCACCTTATCAGTGGTTATTATGTCCCAAATGTTGTTGGACAACGGATTGACGTAGTTTTGCGATGCTGATTCGGTCTCTTACTGTGTGCAAATTTTGCCGTATCACCCACCACTCATGGCATATAATTTGACAAAAAATGTAGCAGTTATAACTCTTGTCTGATATTAGGTGATTTAAGACAGTTAGCAGAAAGCCCTGGACCTCATTATGTGTAAATATTTTATTTGTTGCCGTAGTTAGTGTGTTCATTTCATTGTATTGTTTTAGAATGCTTATTGGATGAGATCATCATGTCGTATACGCCTAAAGTAAAAACTTGTAATGAATAAGGAGAATTTTCTTCAACCAAGCATTCATTATTGTTGTAAGCTTCTAATAAAATCAACTATTTAGAATCCCTTTAAAAATATTCTTGTTATGTCTTTTTATCGCATAGTTCACACTTTGAAATTGTACTATTTGATACAAAATTTTCTTCTGCTTTTTAGATTTGCTAGACCATGTTCCAAACGCTGCAAAGGAATACCATTCATTCCAACTATGGCTGAAGCTGTTGATCTTTTCCCACAAACACGACATGTTGAAGTTATATTACTGCTTGAACGCTTGCAGTCTGTATCTTGACAGTTTTTTACATTATTTAAATAAAAAACTAAACGAGAACTTTGTAAAAATTCATTTTTCGTTTAAATTATTCACTACAGCTCTTAGTTAGTTAGTAGATATTTGACCAGTGCAGTACTGCTTAATCAAGAGTTTCAGTTTCCCTACTCATGATGGTATTAGATAATTGGATTATAGTATGAAAATCACTTATAATAGCAACCTAATATAAAGGCTAATTGGAAAGTGTTTCAACAGCAGATGTGTTTGACTGAATACTCTATAGCGATATAATATGTCTATATTTTTTTAAAATAAAACTTTTGAATATCATTTTAGGTCTGGATAATGTGGACAATATACGATGCTTAAACCTGTTGTCTTTACAACTTTTGTAATTAATCAATTATCGCCATATAATTCAGAAGTACCCGTAAATAATATATGTTATATCCATTTCAAATTTGTTTGCATATTACCTGCTACTATTTGCATTTATCCAGTGGCCTTGTGCTTAAGGTATACTCTGCAAAGTCCTTTCGGCAAAATATCTATTACTGTTGTTGTAAAGGTGATAATATTGGACTATGGGTTCGTTCTGCTGTTAATTCAGCACAACAGCTGATCACACTTGGACCACTTTTCCCAGGCTGAGGAGGCAAAGGTTTACTTCTCCATGCAAAAGGCAATATAACTTGATATTACGACTGTTTATATAGTTGTTTTACATAGCCAAATACATGACTAGTTTAAAGTTTGAAATTTATATTTTGACTGGTCAGCATGTATTAATAAAAATCCTCTGATTCTACCTCTAACCTACGTTAGAATCATAGGTCGCGTAGGGAAGAGTGACTTAATATGTCTCTTCGTGATCTAAAGGTCATCCAAATAGGCAATTAAATAGTGAGTTTTGTGAGAACATCTCCCCTTTATAGATGGCTGTAAGACCCTTGCTCACCTATAGTGCTTTGTACAGAGAAGTCTATCACTGATTTGATGATAGGAATTGTTCTGTGTTGGTGTTGGCCTACAATGTTGTGGTGTAGGCAGACTTAAATTCCTCTTTGATTTTTACTTCCATTTGGCGTTCAGGACAGGTAGCTGTTCACGTTCGTCCTTCGTTGCAACACTTCTCACCCTGTTAAGGTGGAGAGTCTGACTTACTTCATAGCCTCAGGTTAATTAAGCAGGGAGCAATGACGGCACAAGACTTGTTGCCAGACTATTCAAATACATTAAAAATATGTCCAGATACTACTTCACATATTTTATACCATTAATCAGCAATGACGTTGTGATTGATAAGCACTTATATACATAATCATGTAATAGCCAAAATGGCTATACGGATTAAACACTATTCGGTCGAGTACGGTATGTCACACTCAAATGTTCCACGTTTAGCAAAAAAGAACGCCACTACAATGAAGATAAGCCTTCTTGATGTTCAGTGACCAGGCCACAGGATAATGATAAAAACGCTGTACATTTTACAATAACATTGTTTTTCTTAAATGATAAGAAGAGGTTGTACACCAGATCAATTCACTGATAAAATACATGTACAAAAAAGCAATGATATAAAATTAATTTTTTAAAGTATTTCTTAGCCTGGCAGGATATATAATTCAGAGAAATAATAAGCAGAAATCATTTACAATCAAAGTAAGAGATATTAGTTCATTATTATCACAGTAATGTACACAATGGTGTGAGATAAATGTTCTGACCTATTAATTATGAAAATCATATGTGATAAGAAGAAGTAGAAAGAGTAGGCAGTCAATAAATGTTTTTTCCCAATTCACTGGATTTGTGCTCGGAGGTTAGTTATACGATCGTAGACTTCACGATTTGCTTTTCCAACCTCCTGTTGTATATACAATAAATCATATTCAGACTTTTCACGAACAGCTAGTTGAATAGCTTCTTCAATTTTCCTAAAAATTATTTTGTATTACAACAAAAATTAGAAAGAAATGAATTATATTTAATTTGCTATTTTCACTTATCAGGAAAATTAATGTATGTTAAATGATATAGATTGACTTTTGTACTATGACAGCGCATGTGTGAAGTTGTCAAGCAGGAGACAAACTGTTAGAAAATATTCTTATTGTAAGTATTTTTGTATTTTTTAAGGGTCGGTGGCACAGTGGTTAGTTGCCGACAATGCACATGGTCCGGGGTTCGGTCCCCCGCCAACGCACTCCTTTACCTCGTTAAGTCAGTAATAAAGCTGGTAAAGAGGGAAGGTTGGGCGTGAGGCTAGCAATCCCATCTCGTAAAGATAAACACCACTGCTACAGAAACTTTAAGCCTCTAGCTTGAAGCCTTATGTTCCACTGGGAACGTGAAGGAATAAAAAAAAGGTAATTTTGACAATCTTTTAATTTTCCGTGTATGTACAATAAAATATGATCGTTTCATCCCCTGAAACATATACTTTTTTTAAACTATTATATTGTAGTTTAGTCTAATAGCACGTCTCTTCAGACACTGATACACTATGGTGTGAGAGTCTTCCTAATTAGAAATTTTTCAGCACTAACAGTGAAATGTCTGCTAGTCAGTTTACAGACTAACGTTTCATGATAAATCTGTTAACATTACAAGTTTAAATTCTGATAGCTATTTGTGTAATATTGAATAATATTATTTCTCATTATTCGGTTTTAAAGGTAGTAATATTTTACGTACGTATCACAGGTGTTGATGTTGTGTCGTTTCTATCTCATGCATATGGTTTTCATGCGAAAAAAACAGAGGCTTATTGTTTAACCTTTTTTCTTACCAAACTATGTTGGTTTTCAAGACAGTTCAAAGGTATACACAATATAAAAATGTTCAAGTAGGGAAATCAGATAAATAAAAGGCGTATCATTACTACTAAACACCTGTTCTTGTGAGATTTCTTTAGAAATTCATACGAAACCGTAATTAGGCTTCTTAATAAGAAGTATACGTAATACTCTACCAGATACTGTATAACAACTGTCAAGTTGAACAGATAGATGAAACCAGTCAGTTGTGCTATCAGAACATACAAATCTAAGTAGATGTAGGATGATAGTTCTTAATGCGATGAGATGAGGAATCACTAACACAATCGCATAAAACAGAGTACAACATTCTAAAAGACCAGTATAGTGTATTGGGAGGAGAAGTAAAGAACTGAATCTCTTTGTGTTCATCAAATCAATAACAAATAAATACTATAGAAATGGAATAAAGTCAATACTAATCTAATTACTACTAAAAATCAAATAATGAGAAACACTAGAAGCATATATTCAGAGTCAGCAAGTAATGTGAGCAATTCGCTATTGAAGATGCACAATTTGGTTTAAAAGGTCACGAATAAGTAACACATAAATCATCCTATCATGGTATAATAATTTATAGTTCATTGTCTTGTCACTTACTCCTGAAGTCAGCCAACTACAGACAAAAACCTCTCAGTATCCTGTAACCAATTGAAAGATAAATTGGCAGTTTTCTTCTCAATACTTCGACAATCAAAAGTGCTTGTCACATCAAAATAATACTCAGAGGTGTTAGAAGTTTCAAAAACAATTATTTATCTTATTTGGCTATTTTTGTTAGGTGTAATTTCGTGAACAGGAAATAAAATATTTTGAATAGTTAGTCGAACTAATTTTGTTCAGTGTGAAAATTAGAAACTTACCCAATCATTAGCCAAAATCGTACTCTTCTTTCAGGTGGAATTCTCGGAATTAATCTAATTGCATCTTCGATATGATTGCCATCAATACAGATTTTAGTCAATATCTTTTAATGTAAAAAAAAATACGGAAAGTTTGATCAAAGAATTATTAGTTTTGATATTAGAATAGAACTTGGGTACTGTGGTAAAGTATGATTCCATTATGGAGAAAATTTATTTAGATAAAGTCTCACAGTGTTATAAAGTAATATTTACTGATGACGTTTCGAGCACAATTCATTGCTCATAATCATACCGAGTTATGAGTAATAAATCGTCTTCGAAAAGTCATCAGTACATATGACTGTTTAACGCTGTGAGACTTTACCAAAATATATTTTATCCATAATAGAATTACTAGTTTTGCCTTCGGAAATTTAAGAAAACTCAGTTTTCTTAGTCCGGAAGGGGGAGGGGGGTTATGACATTGAATAGATTGGACCTTAGTTAGGGTTATCAGTTAGACACTATTAGAGAATTTGAAACCAAAACGAAAATGCTATCAGTAGCTGAATGCTTTTTCTCTGATGTTATTTTGTGATTACGAAGGCATCTTTGAGTATTTTGGTATAAATTATGTCAAATCTTAGGTTTTAGAGATGATTGTATTTGGACAATTTTGCTAAATTAACTTAGTGTTTTTGCATCGTTGTGAGAATTCATGGCACTGCGTTACATAGCAAATAGGTAGAAATCAAACATCATAAGTTGTTGGATTTATACTAACGAGTGAAATGGTGATGTGATTGCCCTGGACTCAACCTCCCTCAGGAATATCTGTTTCTGAGGTACAATACGATGAAAGAATTGTCCAGTGTTGCATTCATTTTATTTTTCTTAAGTGATAGTAATTTTGTTTGTTTCTTGGACATCTTGAATATTTTATCACTTTATCGAAAACTTCGGAAATATCTTCAAAAGTATCCATAGTACATTAAACTACTTACTTAATACAGCTTATAAACATAATACTATTCTCAAATACCGCGATTAACTTACAGAATGTTAACAAAAAGAAGTAATACTTAATATTTAACATAACTTATAAGTAGATGAAGAGAAAACAATGATGTATAATCCATCGAATTCTAGTTTGTTCTCCAGTGTTAAATGAGTGATATTGAGGTTAAGCGTACAGTGCTAAGTTAGGTAGGGAAGTTGATCGATGAGGTTGTGAAGCTACACCGTTTGAGATGGCTAGTACACGTATGACGGATGCTGAGCCATCGCCTTCTTCGTCCAGCTATGTTAGCTGACATATGATCAGATTGAAAAAGAGTCAGTCATAATGAAATCAAAACCTGACATTAATCCATGAAGTATTTGACAGTTAGTTTGAGCTACGTATGGAGGTGTAGACTGCTTGATCAGGGTACTCAAGACGTTAAGAATCAATAGCTGAAGAGTTTTGGTGATATGGCTCAAAATCGTTCTCAATGATTTAGATGCATTGACTCTTTGTGATCTCCCATATCCATTATGTCCTCAAGTTTTTCATGCTATTATTCTTTCTCCCGTGTACTTCGGTTCATTATAGTTCTTTTGAATTTTTCCTCTACATGAAGTGTGCCAGTTTGAACTGCTGTACTCCTTCCTGTGCAAAGTTCTATGCTGAAACTCATTTAGTCAGTCAGTTTGTTTTGTTTCACATTTTCCTGATCAAATCCAAATCAATCAAAACTTCAAGATAATCTTCGCATACTCAAAATGAAAAGTTTCTGTGAGTTAGATAACAAGTCTAATGTTACAGAACACTAAACAACTAAATGCTAACTGATATGCAAGCAAAATAATTTCGAACCTCATTATCACTTAATTAATGAGACTCATTTTTTTATTTATTTTGATTACAGCTTGATGCCACACCGTATTTTCAGTACAAGTATGGAATTTTCAGCATGGATATCGGTAGCCCAAATTTTGCAGGCCGACCATAGATATCGGGTGTGCATCGGCAGGGGATCGAACCCCGGACCATGTGCATGGTCGGCGATGCCATTATTCAAGATGTTAATGCTATAGCATTCATCGATACGATTTGTATAACACTTTAGCGAAATATTAAAGATTATGGCAGTTTATTTATCTCCTGTATTCTAGTTCGCTCTCTTGTGTCTTCAGAGCTTAAATCAACTGACTGATGCATACAGGTTTTCCAATTTCAATGTATAAACAGAAAGAATAAAATTCTTAGCAATACACTGATTTATGTTAAGAACTTCACTAATTATATCAAGTTGCATACTAATTGAATAAGCATATACTACCTCAACATTAACAGGTGGTTTCTTGGTTCGAATCATTTTATCCATTTCCAACCAAGATTCATTGTTTATTGCCATACCAACAATACGTAGAAAAGCAAAGCGTTTCTCTGAAACTCTAAACTCTCTACGTAATTGATCAGCTTGACGTTCGCAATGTCCTGTAGCCAATAATCGACAGAGTGTAGTATTTAAAGATTGACCTATCCAAAGCTTATCATGTGCACTGTTGCCAGATATCACTGTCTCAGGTAATATCCGATTTGAACCAGTGACAGCTTTAATTTCAAAAAGTGGTGCAGATATTTCTTGTTTTTCAAGTTTACTTTGAAATTTCAATAGACGTATCTGTGCATTACATTCCTGAAAATGAAAACAGCAAAACAAACAGAGTCAAACACAAAGTTAAACACCTAAATTACAGTAAATGTATGGGGAAAAATTGTAGTGGGAGAATCGTTCACCTGGTGGTAACTAGTGTAACATTCCGATCGTTACTGATGGTCGGAATCCTATCAGGTTACCGAGGTAACTGACAGGGAACTGTTAAGTGCTGTGATCTGACGTTATGCGTGGTTGGTATTTTTAACGTCAAACAAGATATTTACGTTTTTTCGATTTGAAGAATCCTCAATTAACACAAACCAAGTTTACAGTTCATGCTTATCATAATCAAAAAATGTTTTTAAATGCCACAAATTTAGACAGCAGGTGCACATTTATTCTGGAACTAAAAAGTAAGGAATCAAATTTATGAAGTTCTGTTTACTTCTCTAACGAAAAATCTCCCATAAAGAGCAGTAACAAGTAATCTGTATGTGGCGTGCGCTAGTGACAAGATTTATAAGTAGTATATAGATAGAGATGTAAATATGCATATCGGCTGCAAGAATATAGTACAGTGGAGAGATGGATTTGACGAACAATGCTTGTGAAAAAAACAAACATGGAAGACAAATCAGTACAATACTGAAGATATATGCAAATCTTGATTCTACTACACAGTAGATGCATTTTGCCTGTCTATGTGTGTCGAGTCGCCAATAAATAATTCCTCTACAGAATTCTCTTGTTTTCTGCCGTTACATACAGCATCCTAGTTGCACGTATGGTATTTTCAGATAGCAACCTGCTTTCAAGTATATCACCTGTTAGGTATTCTTTTTTGTTTGTTGTTATGATAGGCAGTCAAAGCCTAATTCTCAGTAGTCGGAACGGAAGATTACTTTCACATTCAATAAATATACTGTATATTTAAAATGTTGAAGAGTGTCAAATAGTGATTTACTTAAATTGTTTGATAGTTAACAGTTGAAAAAATTTTTTCACTGTGTGATTCAATGCACTAGGCCTATGAAGTATGCTTATTTCATTGCACACATATTACTGCTTTTTTTAAGAAAAAAACATTTACGTGAACTTCAACGTTAGTGTTGCATATCAAGTATTCAGTCAAAAATGTAAGCACTCACCATGTAACTAGTAAACAGTATGACTGTAATTTTGTGAATTTTTAGTACACTCACATGATTTACTCATTTACAGATTTTAACTTCATCCTATCTATCAAAGTTATGACAGCAAAATTTTAACAGTAACTCTCATCCAATAGGTCCCGTATATTGTCTAGTGTAATCACTTGCTTATGAGTGCTGAGTTGTATTAGTTTACTACACATAGGAGTGGCTATAAAATTCTAAAATAACCTCGATAACATAATCGCTGAAAATATTTGCAATAACACAATTACTATAAGAAAAAAGTTAACACGTTTTACCTGGGCCATAAAATCATTCTTCAATTGTCGATAAATCTCTTCAGCATTCTGTAGCAATGTCAGTCTTGAAGTCAAACTCTGAAATTAAAATAAGTTGGACACTTAGTGATGTATATCTATATATCACTTTTAGAAAATAAAATTTACAAAAGTTTTGTAAATACACTTTCATGTAAAAAGGCAGGAATTAAAGATTTCCTGAACAATGAACCATAACATTAACATTTGCCTATTACTGAACTTTGTTTGTCTGAACTTAGTTGTTTGGATCAGATTTTTCAGATATCACGCTATGAGCTACAATTATTGTGTGAGTGCTGATAATTACTACCACCCAGTTGTTCAAGTTGAGGTAAGTGGAGCGGGACTTAAACATGGGACCAAATAACGACTATAAGTTGTATGTTTAAGCCATTTATCACTGAATAAGAATCGAGTTAATAAGCCAGTCAAATTTCCAACTGCCTACAGATTTTAAATTACTATTTTGAATTTTGATCTGAGTCAGTTACTCAGAAATAACTCATATAAATATATTTTCAAGTATTGGTTTTGTAGGGATTTTGTTTGATTGGTTGGATGACTTCATTATGAGCTGACATTAGTTAGAGAACCATTGGAAAATCTGGGAGTACTAGACGGCTGTCTCGTCCTAGTTTGGGGCTCTTCAGCGGTACGCACCCACCGGGGTTCGAACCCAGGACCTTCTGGTTATAAGGCAAGCTCGTATACCATTAAGCCACTGGGACCCGATCCAATGGCCCATAAATATAAAATAAAACACCTATGAGAATCAACAAACTAATTATTTTAATTAAATTTAGGAAATGTGGTTTTTATTAAAATTGAGGATGACGTTTGGTAATAAGTCCAAAGTTGTTATGCTAATTTCGGGTAGCAATGAGCTCTTAGTTTTCTTCAGTGAAAATAAATAGTAACAAAGAATGATAAAAATCACTTATAATTATTACGAATTATTATTATTATTATTCACTTTACAAACTACATGGTAAATATACGGGGCGTAGAATGTGCTAGTGACCTATTAAGCACACTGGAAAATGAGGAGAAAAGATATCAGAGTCAGATAACTTATATTTGATTCTCTGTTGTTGTTTTTTTTACTCACCGTCATATAGAGATATAACAGATTTCATACTTCAAACATTTTAGTACTTCACAGATTTAGCTTATTTTTCAAAGGGTATACCCACCCAACTACTTTTTATAGCATGAAATTTCATTTAACTTCCAGATACAATTAAATTAAATAACCTCCGACTAGTCAGAGAATGTTACGTAGAACTATTCATTGTTATTATAATGAAAACCGAAGGTAGTCACCTGAAAGGATACATACACAGAGACTCAAGATTGAAAACGCGCTTTTATGAATATATCATCATCCTTCGAAAAGACTAAATAACATTCTCTGAAAGTAGGAAATCTTTCGCTTTTAAATTGAAGAACTCTTCCACAGTAAGATTATTTCACAAGTGAATATAATGAATATTGTACAAGTTATTTGACTTCACGTATTGACAAATCTTCAAGGAGATTATCTTGTGATAGCAGCGAGTTACTTGGCAGCTATGTGATAAGTATTAATAAACTGGAGACACTACGTCATCTGACTTCTAAATAATACGTTAACTTCAAGCAAGAAAAATACAGTGAAAATAAAGTTTAAAGAATGCTTACATTCTCCCGATAAGCTGAAAGAACAGCTTTTTTAGCTTCTGCAGCACGATCATTTTCTTGGTTAAAGGTGAGAAGAGCAGTTTGTGTTGAATTTTCTGAATCAGATGACGAGTGATCAACCTGACCTAATGTTTCCTGATAGATAGCAAGAGCTATTGGATGTCGGCGAAGTACCATGGCAAGGTCTGCTGGCGGTAATTTACCTTGTTCTTGTAATGCTACTACGACCACAGTAATCAATTCAGGGTCGCCTGTTTCCACCGCTCGAACTAATGCACGATTATAACGTGATAATTTTAAAAGTAATGGCACTTGACGCCACGCACGTGGTTCATACTCTAATATTTGTTCTGCAACCGTCTCGCGACCAGCTAAAATAGCTTGACTGGCAACATCGGCGAAATCCAGATGAGAAACAGGAGTATTAAAGAAGTTGACACGACTACCACTGGAATTCGATTTACTTTCTGGGGAATCATTGAGTAATTTATCAACGATAGCTGCCACACGTTCTGATATCAGTGCAGCTGCTCCCGAGGATGTTATAGAGCTATTGCACGCCCAGTGAGCAAGTAGATGTGAAAATGTACATGTTCCATAATTTCCCTGACTTTCTTCGAGAATGCTTCTTGGCCACTTGTGCTTTTGATGAATTCGAACAAGTTCAATGGCAATTGGATAATGCCGACGAACTAACAAACGTTCAAACAATTTGTTTGGTCCTAATTCACGGAATTCACGCCATGTTAAAGCGATTCCAAACCAAGGAACAGCTAAACTGTTTAGTAAACGCAATGTCTGACAAACTTTAGCTGCATGATCAGCACTGAAAAGCATAGCAAAGTTAATAAACAATGAAACAGAAGACTTCGTGTGATTGAAATTAATATTATAATTCAGTATTATTTCATACTAAAAACGAATATAATTGGGTAGTAAAATGAAGCCATTTGATGAATTTTAGAGTGCTACGAGAATGGTGAAAGATACAAACGAATAAAGCTGTCCAGCGAGTGAAACTAATTACCTCATGATATTTATTTTCATGATGCATTAACATTTTCATAAATGCAAATGAAATGGACTAAATAAATTTGAGGACGACTTTTTTGTTTTTGTCATCATTTCTTCTTAGTCACAGCAAGTCTCAAGACTACTAGAACAACATGAATGTCAGAATCCCTGATGAAGAATGAATATGTAACAGATATAAAGAGAATAACTTTTAGAAAGCATGCACTTACAGCTCTTTTACTTTAGCCTCCACTGAACAATTGTCAGGAGTAGTAGCAGTATCCGCCGTATTAAACATAGCCAGTAACAATATACGACCCAGATGAGCAGATTCAAGTAATTCTTGTTGACAAGCATAATCAACTGTGGCATGACAAGCTGCTTCAATACAATGAGATATTGCATCAATCATTTGATTAGTTTGTTTAATAGGTAATAAATAATCATTAGTACGTCCACAGTTTGCTTTCAAACTTTTATAAGCTGACACTAACCAAGTGGCTGGACATGATGCACCAATCCGTCCTAATGATTCAAGCGCCGATGGTACCCGTTGTAGTAGTTCATGTGATGTAGGCGTTATAATGCGAATTCCATCAATCTAAAACAAATTGTATGAATATAAAAGAAGAAAATGTGAAATTTTCAAATTCCGTGAAACAATTCAAAAACTTAACACATGAGATATTTTATTTGAATAATTGTTTTAGTAGTCCAAAAACTAGTTCATAGACAGGTAACAGCTACCCTCCAGTTATCCTCTAACCTTTTATATTACTAATTTTATGCAGCAATTTCTTAAATACAAGAATATGATTAAAAGTAAGCAAGCAAGCATTATAAGATGATACAATGTGTAGTTTTTTCTCTCATTAGCATGCTTAATCAGGTATTTATTTTACTGCTGCCCTTATCATTGACACTAAATACATTTCTAAGCCTAGTAAAACTGATGGGAATGAAGTTTCTAAAATATATTATAGTGAAACGCTTACATCTTTATTCAACTATTGGTTTGTAGGGATTCGATTGATTGGTTACAGGATTTCATCATGAGCTGACATTGGTTAGAAAACCATTGGAAAACCTGGGGGTACTGGACAGCTGTTTCGTCCTAGTTTTGAACTCTTCATCAGCACGCACCCACCGGGGCTCGAATCCATGGGCCATTGGATCGGGTCCCAGTGGCTTAATAGTCTACGAGCTCGCCTTGTGACCAGAAGGTCCTGGGTTCGAGCCCCGGTCAGTGCGTACTACTGAAGAGTCCCAAACTAGAACGAAACAGCTGTCCAGTACTCCTAGGTTTTCCAATGTTTACATCTTTGCTGACTGCTCTGCAATGAACTACTCATAAACCTAGAGATGGTTGATGCTTTATTAAAATCATATTGTGGTGGTGTGATGCAGACGAATGTGTACCAACGGAATATTATTCTCACAGTAAGAATCATTGTATTTATTGGCGCTAACGTCTGAATACTATTCCCACAGTTCAATATTGCATTAGCAACAGAATACTATGCATATATTTGAACATTTTATTTCATGTCGTTTAAGGTAAACAAAAATCACACGTTCAGATATTGGCTACGGAATATAAACTATATATATATATATATATATATATATATATATATATATATATATATATATATTGCACTTTCATCAACTGAGAATATACCTTGGCTTCTGTGTCTTGCCTCCTGTTATCACAATATTGTTTACTCAACATAGACTTCGAATGATGTAATAAAGTGTTTCATGATTATGAGTAAAGTAAAAATGAAATAATGCTCTTCTCATCTTTTGCATTGGAAGTCAATTAAGGTCATCACTACTGAAAAGCAACTTTAATAGACTCCGAATGTGTTACACAGGTTGCGTCGGCTTTGGAATTCAATGAGGAAGTGATCGCTGACTACTTTAGAACGAATGAAATTTGCTTAGAAATAGCAAATGCAGACGTATCAAACTGGACTGAGAGAAATCAAAGGACTTACACAATTCAATGAACCCAAGGCTTTTTAAGAAATAGATAGACCACAGCCCTTATACAGTATTTATTGACAGTTTTTATTTTCTATATTTTACACAACAAAATTCTTTCTTTCACTTCTACTCTCCACTTTTCCTTATCTCTGTGAGACTGTTGCTTTTAACGATATGACAATCGTATTGATACATTAGAGTATTCGCGTGTTGATCATATAAGTGTGTTTGTATAGCTCTTAAAACCTATAGTGCTGAAAAAAAATAAGATTTTCTTCACTGTTACATCCTTCTTTTATAACAAAATATGGAGGTTTTCAATCTGTTTGATAGTGAATGTCCAGTGCATACGGCGAATCAAATTGTTATGGTTTTCATAAGTCTCAATATGGCGTGTCCTACTGACAAGATTTATCAGTAGTATATGAAGAGACTTTCATCGGCACACTAATATCAAACAGAGGAAAGATAGATTTGACATTAAAGAGAGAAAATGAATCACCAGTATTGCGATGAAACATGGGAGACACGAGAAGAAGACAAAGAGACAATACGACGGGCAGAAGCAGCAGGACACGGAAGATCTGTGCAAGCGACCATTTTGATATAAGGTATACATAATTTTCCTATGTGCGTATATGATCAAATTGCAAATAAACATCCCGCTACCAAGTCTCCTGTCTTCTCCGATTACATTACCATAATTTATAACTTTATTGAATTACACTTTCCTTGTTTTTCTTAATAGCTTTAATAAATATATATTAAGACTAATCAATAACTGGTTATAAAGAAGAAAAGTTGACCACTAGAAATAAGACGTAATATGTTCATAATGAATATGGTAACCTCATTTACCTACCTGAGAAGCATCGTTTCAACTACAGGCGGAACTGACGAAGATATCAAAGCAAGGATCGGGAAAGCAAGACAAGCTTTCACTACTCTCAAGTCTGTGTGGAGGTCAACAACACTCAGCATCAAAAATAAGATCCAGATTTTCAACTCCAGTGTAAAGTCAGTGCTACTATATGGATGAGAGATTTGGCGCGTCATGAAGAGCACTTCAAACAAACTACAGACCTTCATCAACAGTTGTCTTCGCTCAATACTCAGGATCACATGGCCAGAAAAGATCAGCAACAGGGATCTCTGGGAGCGAACCAACCAGGAACCGATTGTGCGACAAATATGCAGGAAGAAATGGAGGTGGATTGGTCATACTCTGAGAAAACCATCAAGTGACATCACAAGACAGGCTATCGCTCGAGTGGAAGCCGGATGGGAAGCGGCGAGTTGGTCGTCCAAGGGTGACATGGAGGCGGTCATGTGAAGAGGAGATGAAAGCATGTGGGCAGACGTGGAGCCAGGTGAAAACGTTGTCAGAGAACCGAACGCAATGGAGACGTGTGGCTGAAGCCCTATGTTCTTCTAGGAACTAAGGGAAACAATAGTAATAATAATATAAGAATATAGTAACTTGTAACCATGTATAGTTCCATACAGCAAGATATTCTGGTGTAACCGGATCTAACCTGATAACCAAGTTGCTATTACCTGTATATATTTAGGCAAATAATCCACAGGCGAACTTACCATAAAGCATGTAAATGAACAACAAATTTTTAATGAAAACCATAACCACTCCAAAACTGCTGAGCATAAGTATGAAACAGTGAGAAAAGAAAAAAGAAATAACCTTTGCTTCAAAGTATTACTTACCTCTTGTGATAAGAATATATCATCTGCGTAGAATGCTTCATAAATATCTGACTGTACACCAACAATGGCAATTAAATTATCCCACTGGAGAACAACAGCTGAATTTGTCAACCACAATAATGCTTTAGGATGATTCAATTCATTTGACCGCTGACTAAGTGAATCACTGCTGTTCATTAGCATTACTGATATACGTTGTGTAAGATCAATATGTGAATGTAATTCAGTGAATCGGGTATTTGTAATTAATAATTCACCATTGTTTAAATAAATTGCAACAAACTGCATATTTAAAGATATCGATAGTAAACGAATGTCATCACCACTCGAATTTGTAAGTCTGGATAAGTCAATCTAATTAAGTAAAAAGAAATAAAGACTTTATTAACAGGTTTATAAGTGTATGAAGAACGTTGTCCAATGCACTTATGCGTGTGTATATTCCTGCAAACAACATGTTAGTAGTTTCATTTAGATCCTCATCAATGGCTCACCCAACGTTAACTTCATTAAGTATGCGGATGATCTGACCGTTTCTGTCCCTGTAGTTTCCACATTCGATTGTTCCCATATGAATGGCTTCTTAGCTGAAGTTAAGGATTGGTCTAGCTCAAATGGTCTTAAACTAAATCCAACTAAATGTAATACTGTTGATTTCAGCTTGAGAAATGAAAAAGACATGCATGGATTGATCCAATCTCATGATTGTTGTAATATTGATGGTACCATGATAGAGAGTAAGTCAAGTGTTTCTTATCTTGGCATTAGTTTCTCTTCAAACCTTTGCTGGTCGTCTCATATTCTTATAGTTTCTACGAAAGTTTTCCGTCTGACTTATTACATAAAGAAGTTGAGGCACTCAGGTATAACCCAATCTCTTCTCATACAATTTATTAATTCATGTGTTTTGCCCATTATTCTTTATTGTTCCCCATTATTCTTCCCTGGGCTACTCAAAAAAGACCATATAATACTACGAAGAACATTGAGGGCTGTAAGTAGGGTCAGTGCTATCCCTTTGACTCAACTAACCGACACTGTTGTCAATAGGCACATGAATTCTTGTAAACACTTAGCTAAAGTTATCCTGTCTGATAGTGAACATCCTCTTTATTCACATTTGTTTCCTTGTATCTCTTCGGGTAAGACCAGAAGAAATTTCATAAACATTTATGCTCGTACTACAAAATATAAAAATTCGACAGTACCATATTTGGCACGAGTATTGTGTGAAGAGACGAATATCAGAAAAGAACTTTTACAACTTCTAAATCATTAACTCAACTAAAAAATGTAATGATGTATATTATTGCATGTGTGATTTGTTACATTACTTATTTATTATTCACTATGACCTAGAAATGGTGTATTTTGTTGGGTTTTTTATTTTTCCTATTAACTATTACTATTTTTAAAATTTTATACATTTATATAATTATAAAAAGAGCTAAACCATTGCAATATGTAAAATGAAACGCTGAAAATTCCATGCTGTAAATTGTTATTGTTGTGGAATAAAGTGATTATTATTATTATTATTACTTTAACACACAGAATTTTACAAGTTAGATTCCATCACCAATCAGCTTCAGTGGGAGAACCATCGAAAACTCGGGAGTACTGAGCAACTGTCTTTTCAGTAGTATGAACCCACTACTCCACCACGGATTGAGGTTACGAGACATGCATATCGACATTTAGTCATTAAGATAGGACCCAATTACTCATAAGCTCTGATTTATGCCAACTCACGGTACGTAGCGCCGCTACCAGCCAACGTACCTGTCCTCACACCCTAATTGGTGGTCACGAATTTCCACTAGAACAACGGGGAATCCACTTAACATCTTGAAGTCTTGTACAACACATAAAAACTAAACACTAAATTTTGCAATTTAGCCAGTGTCATAACTCGAATATTGACTGGAAAATGTTCAAAACTTTTAGTGGGACGATGTTATTGATGATAAATTCACCCTGAAAGCCATTATTATGTGAATATGAAAAGTGTGAGTCTAGAAAAGTCTACAAGGTCAGATATGTTCGTGTACTAATATTTATAAGTTTTTGGACAAAACAGCGGATAGTAAAAAAGATTTCAATTAAAACAAGATGACTGATTCAGTAGTAAGCGGTAGAACGATGCCACTAACCATTCTAGGAATAAGTCATTTTCAGATGATTGACTTTTAAATACGAAAAGTTTCTGGATCTAAAGGAATCCTCCTTCTACTATTTACACGATCAATGTCAAAATTGGGGCTAAGAATGTTTAGGTGGTGAATTTTTGAAACCACGATTTGTAATTCAGTAGGTTAAGTTTGACCGGCGTTAATTCTTCTCTCGGACTTTGCTCGATTATGCGGTGGATTAATTGGTTTTTAATAAATTTTTGCCTTAAATATCAAATTTCTATACACTGATACATTGAGTTATAAATCGTCAGTAGTCATAACACTAACCTAGAAATTCACAAAAGTAAGTTCAAATTTAATTTTTGGTAGTAAACGGAATGTTTCGCAATTAGTTACATGAGCTTACACTTTCAACTGTTCCAAAGTTTGCTCGATATAAATTCTTTTTGCGTGCAATCAACAACCATGGACTTCGAAAGGAATCGGTAGTTCCCAGATCAAGAGGTGTTGTAATAATACTCCATTGTGATAGAGATTGGATAGGTCCAGGTAATTCAGCAAGACGTCGCATTCGTGGCGTTTCAATGCTAGTTGTCAGAAAAATGTGATTTCCACCAGTAAGAACAGCTATACCTGTGTTCTAGAAAAACATACGTGTAATGTCAAAAATCATGTGTAACAATAAACAGTGTTCTCACATACAAATATTTTGGTAAATAAAAGATACATTCATGCACTATTGTTAACCATACAAAAGTTAAACATACACGGATAACAATTTGATGGAATGGTGGCCTGATTAAATAATTATTGGGCTATCTAATTTTTCACAAAGCATAATGAGTCAAATTTACTGAATAATACCTTGTTTTAACCATCAATTTACGTTCTTGAAAAGCGATCTCCGCTCACATGCATTCTCCAATGCTCTGCAGAGTATTGCTTCGTCTGTTTTGAAGGGACAAACACGTTGAGGGTAGGAGCACGTTTCAGGCAGAACGAAATTCCGTCTAATGATATACTGTAGACTACTGTTTTACTTGAAAATTCTGTACTGTATATAAGCATATTCAGAATAAAGCTATTATTATATTAATGTTAAGCTTTTTGAAAACTAATAAAATTACATAAATTCAGAAGACTGGTACATGCTTTATCTAAGCATCATTAGTACATATCTTTAAACTGATCTAGTCTGATACTAGTTAACTTGATAATGTGAGAAATGTAGTAACAGAACCACTCTAAGCTATTTCAGTCACACGCCTTAACCTATTAGTATTGAACATTTATGATCTGCTATGTAGTTTGTATACAAACGAAATAAAGCTGGTTAGTTAAAAAATATTCCCTTTGGAAAAATATACATTCCAGAAAATAACCCATATGCAGATGCGACCTAACATATCAAATGTCTGTGTACTTTCAAGAGCTAATCTTTAGTAATAATATTACACTAAGGTGCAATCTGAGTGAAGAAAATCACAAGTAAGCTATACATCGGTAATGGCAATTCACATACATTCTCCACAACAAACAGCTTAGCACTAATTATTTCTCTTTCCTCAGCTTCAGGTCCCATACTGAAACGACGAATAAATTTCCCTTGAAGATCCAAAACTGTCGTGAATCCAGTTTTTTGTACAACTAGTAAATCTTCTGATAAAGTCCAGCCAACTAATACACCAGGCGCATCCTTCCACTAAAAGAAAAACAAAAATTGAATTTTTTTTCATCATCTATGGGTAAGTGAGTCTCAAACAAAAGAATAAGCATACAAATGATTAAAAGATCGTATAAATTCTCAGCAGCTTAAAGACTATTATGAGGATGTTCCTAATTATGAGAAAGATTGCGTAAAGGATTGGCAGTATAACGAATATTGCTAAGCTATATATATATATATATATATATACATATATATATATATTCATATACACAAGAAGCAATTATTAATACGGCTAACATAATATAATGAAAGCCGAAACACATAGTTTATGGTGGGAGTAAAAACTGAAAATGGAAAATAAAACTTGGCTTTCATTGGCAGTGAAATTACCTAGGCTTCAATGTTTAATTGTAGACCAAAACACCACAAGATGGATATTCCTATAAGACATATCATCGACTCTACGAATCTGGGCGTAGAGTTAACCAAAATATTTAAGAAGATTAAAAATATTTCAATACGATATTTCATTCATAAGTAAGAGAGTGGAACAATTTAAAGGCATACGGATATATTTTACTCAGTAAGAAGACATTATAGTGACTTTTTATGTGATTTCTATTTTTACAAGCACCCGTGTATCTGATTCACTTGATACTATAAAGAATGAACTTGTAAGGAATGAAGATCTATTAGCCAAAAATTATTATCCACAAAAGATAAGAGTGTTGAGTAAGGAAACTTTCTAAAACGCGATTGAAAAAGAGTGCTATGAAGAGAATCTAAACCATTTTTAAGCATTATTTATCCAGAAAAACAAATGAAATAATCGAAACTACTGTATGTAGGAAAACATAAACGTCCACTCACTGCCGTCTCTCAGTAAGACAAAGGCTGCATCGCTACAAATATTGGTTGTCACATGTGAACATCTAACTTTCACCATTTGTTTGTCCAAACAACAATAATTTTTACCAAGATAATACAATCAGTAGCCCTAAGGTAGCAGGTACTTCTAATCTTACAATTTCAGATGTCGTTGAGACAACCACAAACGAATAAATTTCTGACTGGTACAGTAACAATTAGTTTCTGTGATAAGCAAGTTTTACCGCTAGTTGAGTGTTATAACTATGATAGAGAAGTAAGTGTAGAAATAACGCCTCATGTTAAAGATGGATAGGAATGAAAATTATTACAATATCTGATCTGATATTTATTGCCTCGCTACTTTAAATAGAAGACGAATTGTTTAAAGATGTAAAGTAACATTTAGCAAATTATAAACAAATTTATTAACTCACAACATGTTGAGATACAAGCTTGCCTGCTGACGTGTAGATTTGAAGTACAGGTTTCGCACCAGCTTGACCATCCAAATACATCGCTAGGTAATGGTTTAGTAAAAATTACATCTTTTACCAATATAACCAGAATACTGGCAAATGGACATTTTGAACTGAGAAAGAGAAAACCCCATTCCCCACGGCATGTCGTACAGACGCAGCTTTCTAGAACACCATTAAAATGAAATCAATGAATTAAATACCTGAAATATATATCTCCCACAGCGAACCAGTCTTCACCCAGGACTGTCATGTTTAACTGTCATAAAATTCAGCAAAAAGCAACTCTGCTGATAACTCAGTGAAGATGATCTGTTGGGAAAAATTGCAGGTTCCTTAATAAAAAGAATTAAAAATGCAACAATAAATAAAATTATGTCACGTATCACATTCAGCACGGGTCACACCCTAGAATGCACTAAAGAGTTTCAAAATATCGGTGTTCTAATCTGCATCAAGCCGAGTTTGATCACGTATGAACTGGAACACCCGGATGAAGTGTAGATGATGGAACAAACTACTAAAATTCTCCAACGGTAAGGTAGAAAATCAACTATTACTGGTTTAAATTGTATGGATTCTCAAGGTGTAAAATTCTGAATAATCACCAGGCGCAATTAGGGATAAAAAGAAGAACGATATAAGAAGTCGCTGAGGAAATTCAGTTACACCAGATTTTAGGATACGAATGGCAGCTGAAAACTGTGAGTTTCGTTAAGCAATTACATCAAAATTTGAAACAAAAAGGATAGATGAGGGTTGAGTTCTGGTTCAGATTTTTATATTTCAAATCAGTACACCAATGAGACTCGGTGGTGGTTAATGAACAACATCTATGGTGTCACAGTTTGTCACACTAATTTGCAGCCGAAACTTTGGTAATTTGGTGAGGGTTGAAACCCAGGATTAACTAGTTGAAGGTTTTTGTAACAAAACTCACAAGTCGCAATTACTGCATTCGGTGCTTTTAACTGAAAAGAAGATATTAAGGAATTTAGAAGAAATATCATATGGATAGATATGGACCTAACAAACAAAATGTTCACACATGCTTACGAAACTGCTCTTAGTACGCTGTCCATCAAGTTGTGTAGACTATACGAGAGAGATCAAGTAGCTCAATGTAAGCCACCACTATTACGGGTAACGCTACCAGACGTCTTAGTGATATAGAGCTCTTTTAACCTAAGAATAAGACCATAAACAGTCAGGCAAATGGTTAGGCAGTAACCTTAATTCGTGCCGTCCACAGTCGTGCGTGGAGTTCTGGAACTATAAGTATATAACCTTTGGAAAAAGCGAGAAGCGCACCCACGATGTTCTCCAATATAAGGGCTTTATAAGTCTTGGTCAACTGCTGTCTGTAGGTTCCGTAGCCCTACTTATCTCAGATCAGTCAACTTACCGCGGTCAATTGCGATAAAATCCAGCTCCTTGGAGCAGGTGACTAAAGTGCTTCATCATTGGTAGGAGGGATATGCAATACTGCGAAAGCCGTTTTCAAGGTCACATGACCCACTTATTCTTCCGCGATTTAACACAGAAGGGGGTGATTGAAGTGCTTACTCAAGTTTCACTACAATACTTGGGGGAAAAGGCAACCGGTCGGTCCCACTGGAATCGGCCAGTTAGTTTGAACATCAACCATTCACTCAGTCGTTTTCTCCCAGCTAAATACTTCACAAAAGGCGAAGTGGTGAGACGTACCATTAATTGCCTAAAACGTGAAGTGAAGCGGAGAAAAAAATAGCTAAACTCATGAACCTACCCTCCTACCCGGATTTCAAAATAATACTGAAATAAACATGGCTGCCCCCTACTGTTTAGACGGGATAAGGATATAGACAATCAAGAGGCATAGAAGTAGCGGACCGGATACTCACTGAACTCGCAGACTCGATATGACGCCGCCTCACTGTTAGCAGCACGAAACATGCATTTAGTAGCATCTATCGACCAGCCTCATGCAGAAGAGAATAAAAAGAGCAACAGCTTTGCACCATCGTGACGGTGCGGAACGGAGGCTGTGATCAAATCATAGACACTTTGTCAGTTCATCTTTTAATCCGTTATTATGACTGTTTCAAGAACTTTCCATTGAAAGTTGCTGTGGAGGATAAAACAGCCCAACTGATTGACAACGTGGGAGACGACAACATTTGGTGCCTCAGTAAAAAGTAGTCAAAAGTGAATTATACCCTGACTCGTAAACAATTACTAGGAAAAATCGTCTAAATTGAAGCCCACTTAAGTAGTACCGACCATGCCGACCTAGTACCAGGCGACCGCATAAAGTGGGATGACACTCAACCTTATCTGTTACAGCAGAGGCAAAAACACCAGGACGAAACAAATTTTATTTAATGACGCATAGCCCAGAGACTACGTAGTGCTACCAAAAAATTAACACTGGGGACTACCGAAGGGGATTATCCACAAAGTGATCTTCAAAGACACCCATCTAGTATTCTTCCACTTATCTCTTTTCATTTTAATTATCTTATTCTAATTTATATATCCGACATTAATCATACTAATCTCATCTCACATTTCTACAAGGCCATACAAATGAGTGAAAGGAATAACATCATGAAGTCTTAACATACCAAATATTACACCTCGGAATTTAACAAAAGTACAAGAGGCGAGTAGGAGGAAAAACAGGAGACCAGGAACCATCATCCCAACACTTAGCGTGCTTAAAGAAATCGATTCGGTTTAATCTACCTCATAAAACGGACGCTGGATAGTGGAATTAGTTGTGATTCTCGGTAAATTCAGCAATTTAACTGCTTTTTTAGTCATTAAATATTGAGAGGCGGCAAATAGCATCCGATAGACAGGATTAAATTATTTTAGATTATTTATTTACCATATGGCGAGGAAATAATAATCTAATTTATTCCAAAGACTTTGCTTAGGTGCCTAAAAAGAATGTAATTTTACGTTTTTGTCCTCATATCGTACAGAAAACTAAGAGTCAGTAACCATACGCATTCACAGTACAGGAAACTTAAAGATCATCACCATATAAATCTTTCCCAATATATCATGTTTCTATAGGTTTTGTCTAAATTTTGTCATTACACTCATGAATATTAGTCCCGAAGGGGACGTCCACTTTGGCTAATGTAGTGTTTTTCGCAGTTGATACAATCTATTTTGTAGATGATGTTGGTTTTATCTTCCTTCGCTGTTGAGTCTTTTGGTTGACATAGAATTGAGTGAAATGACTTTGTTGGTTTGTGTGCGACGTCAATTCCTAAAGGTTTGAAGAGTCTTGTAGTGATTTCCGAGATATCCTTTATATATGATAAGGCGATTTTCTTTGTGCTCTCCTTAGGAACTTTTGGTTTCATAGGATGGCTTTGGGGTATATGTCTTTTGATGAAATTCCGTGGATATCCATTCTTTTGGAAGACTTCCATGAGATATCTTTCTTCAACTTTCCTTGAGGTGGGAGAGCTGCAATGAGTCCTGGCTCTCTTGAATAGTGTTTGTATGCAATTCCTTTTGTGTGCTATTGGATTGTTGCTGTTGTAATTCAGGATATGGTATGTGTGAGTTGATTTTCTATAGACTTGAGTTTCTAATTCCCCTGTCGTTGTTCGCTTGACTAAGATGTCCAAAAATGGGATTTGGTTTTCTGATTCCACTTCTCTTGTGAATTTGATGTCGTTGAAGACGTTGTTTATCAGGTTGTGAGCTTTATCTAACTCGTTTCTTTTGATAATTACAAATGTGTCGTCTACGTGGCGTATCCAAATCTTGGGTTTAATCTTTGGTAGAATTATGTTCTCGAGCCTTTGCATCACTGCTTCTGCAATCAAACCTGATATTGGCGATCCCATAGGTGTTCATTTGACTTGTTCATGTATTTGGCCGTTGAATTAGAAGTACATTGTTAGGCATAGGTTTATGCATTCCATCCAGCTTGTGTGTTGCATTTTTGATTGTTGTGGAAGCTGTTCGTCGTTGCTAAGTAATTGCTCCATGGTTTCTTTTGCTAGTTTCTGTCCGATTGAGGTATACAATGCTGTGACGTCGAAGGATATCATTATCTCTTGTTCATCTATTTGGATGCCTCTGATTTTCTCTAGGAATTCGATAGCGGAGTTGATCAACGGATAAGAAAGAAACCTCACACACAAAGGGTCAAAGTTCAAGTCAAAGAAACAATGAGTTACAATACAAGTAACCTAGAAGGTGTGAAAACACACAAAAACAACCAATCACGTCCAAGGTCACCAGGAGAGATGAATAATAAACTCGTGGAGAAATTGAAGTATGCACTGAAGATGTCGCCTAGTAGGGCGGTGAAAGCTTCGCAAATTAACTATCCAGCTCAGAGAACACAACCACATCGAGAAGTTTAAATCTCTTCTCCCTATCATACCTTAGGCAGAGAGGATATTTAATTACAATGTTTAAAATTTTAAATAATAACTACGGACCCGATTTATTCTCTCTTGTCCTTCCCACTAGGTCGAAACGCCTTAGATGACATAGCAGGAGAGTTCAAAAGCCAAGAAGAAATCATATGGTTGTTGAGTACTGGTTCTCACACCGAGTCATAAACTCTTCGAACCGACCTGTCCAACTTGTGCAATAAACTAGGTCTGAATATTAGTTCAGTGAAATTGTGCAGGCTGTACAGGGATGTCCACACACCTCAAGGTAAGCCACTCGCATTACGGGTTACACTGGACCCTGCTGAAGAGGCTGAAAAGGTACTATTGATGACTCAGGTACTAGCCATCGACAGAAGCTCGAACATTGGGGTGCGACAAGACAGACCATGGGCTGTCAGACAAATGGCGAGGAAGTCACCGGAACTTTTGCCTTCTACCTCTATGGTGGTACACGGTGTTTCGGAGCTGGAAACGGGCACTGCCTGTGAAAAACACATGCATGACGTACAGCAGTGGAGATGGCTGTCGTCTCAGATGGCCCTTGGCGCTTCTGGAGCCATCTCCATTTACTGACTACCTCGCCCCGCTCATCTCACACTGATTAGCTCTCCAAAGCTGCTAAGTGTCACATTCAACTCCCCAGAGCAGTTGGCCATAGCACTTCAACGGTGGTATGAGATCAAGGGGAAATTGGGAGGACACATCCGAAGCTGCGAAAGCAGACCTCGAACCATAAGGAGGCAGCAAACGGAGGCTTCAATACGTCCCCAAGCTTCAGTGGCACTAGAGCGATGCAGTTCTGAGAATAACAGTCTGTGTCACCCAAGTGTCCTGCCTAAATCCATGGAAAAAAATCACAACGGGCCGGCTCCATCGGAATCGGCCAACTAGTCCCAACATTAAGTCCCCTTCCAGCATACAGCTTCACGTCAACTACCCCACAGCACGCTGAGGTTGTAAGACTCACTGTCAGCTGCCTATATAGCAATGTGAGGGGGCTGAGAGGAAAAATAGGTGAACTCCGAAATATCCAAGCACACCTACAACTGAAAATGATCATTCTCACCGAAACATGGCTAACACCCACTATTGCCGATAATGAAATCAGTATAGGTGATATGGTTTTGGTCAGGAGAGACAGGGATAATAAGGAAGGAGGGGGAGTTGCTGTAAACTTTGATGGGCAACTTAAATGTGTGCACGCAACGGACCCACCACTTACTGAACTCCCAGACTCCATATGGTGTCATTTCACCGTAGGCCACACCAAGCATTTACTTGGTGGCATCTACCGATCTCCCACCTGTGGGCAGAGCACAATCAGCTACTGCCCAGCACTATCACAGGAATACGAGACTTGGGCTATGACCAAATCACCATAGCTGGAGATTTCAATGCCCCATCACTGAACCTTGGCTCGGGGTATGCTAAGGGAAAATTCGGCCGAAATCTACTGCAAACTATTCGAAACACGGAACTGTCTGAGAACGCTGGAGACTAGGGTGGGGCCCTAGTGGAAAGTCATCAAAACTAGACTACATTCTAACTAGTGACCAACTACCTGTCGAGAAGGTCCAGATCATGACTCCTCTAGGAAGTAGTGACCATGCAGTCATAGGTTTCGATCTCGTTCTCCGTGAGCATTTGCAGTGGGACGCTACGCAACCATGTCTGTGTTATAGCAAGGCTGACTATGCTGAAATGCGGAGGCTCTTGTCCGATGCAGACTGGCCCTTAGCATGGGATGAGCTGTCTGTGGATGAACACTGGGAAGCGGTAAAAAAGATTATTCATACAGTAATCTCGGATACCGTCCCTTTAGTCACAAAAGAGCCCAAAAGAAAGTCATCATAGTTAAAGAGACGTACGCAGCGTATTCTGCAAGCAAAGCGGAAGGCTTGGTTTACGTGGCGCGTATCTAAGAGCCAGATCGACCATGATGCATACCTGGAACTCAGGAACCGGTGCAATGCAAGAGTCAGGAGGGACAGGAGGTCATTCCAGGCTGAATGTTGGCATCACTATTTCACAGGAGGAAGACCAAATAGCCACCCCCCAAATAAACCCTGCAATAGTACTGAGAAAGCTGCAGCGACTCATACCTGGGAAGTCCCCAGGTTGTGATGACATCAGACCATCTGTTCTGAAACAGTGCGCCGAAGCTCTCTGTAGGCCTTTATGCGACTTGTTCCAACACTCCATGGAATCGGGGAAACTGCCAAAGGAATGGAAAAGAAGCATCCTTTCTCCAATCTTCAAGGGTGGGGATAGGCAAAATCCCACCAGTTATAGACCAGTAGCTCTACTCCCAGTGGTATCGAAAGTACTGGAAAGTATTATTGATGATCACATCAGGGAATATCTGGACAGGTCTAATATACTCCATGAAGCCCAACATGGTTTCAGGAAAGGG